GCGAGAGCCGAAACTCGAGGTCCATGAAGCGTTGCGGCAGTGTTTTCAAACTCAAAGTGGACTTAGGGTTTGAAAGGGTATGGGGGTTTAGGGCCTTAGGGCCTGGGTCATAGGGTTTAGGGGTCTCGGAGTTTAAGGCTTAGGGTTTAGGGGTTTAGGGGTTTAAGGCTTAGGGTTTAGGGGTTGGGGGTTTAGGGACCCCCCCAAGTCTTCCCAATTGTACTCGTACTTTTCAACACTGAAACACACAGACCACGGACATAATTTCACATGTACGCATACATACGCACAAGCACTGCATGCATACATACCTGCACATACCCTAAGGGTCCATGTACCGATATAGCCTATACTTTGGACCCAATGTACCTATATAAGGAGTACTTTAAGGCCAATGTATATACTATATGAGTACATGGACCCTTAGGGATATAACTATACCAACAAGACATGAACTCTGCTGCGGCGCTTCGGACGCTTCCAGCGCCGAGTCGGGCGAAGGCCCGGCAGCCATGTCGCGCCATGGCTCTCGAAAAGTTAAAGCCAGGGCCCGGGGATGAGGGGCTGAGGGCTTTTAGGGTTCAAGGGAACAGGGTACATAGAGGCTGGGGGAGTAGGATAGCTGGATTCATAACTTTAACAGTATTTAGTGACTAGCTCGATGTGCCGTTCACGACTTTTACGGGCGAGTATGTGAAATGTCTTCTTGCACAATGACAGCAGCAGCAGCACTTCGCCTGACATCCGCGGGCACTTGTTGACACCAAGTGCTCAGCGACTGCTCGCAACATCCGTGCACACAGCTTCAGTGGAGGGTAGGAGAGCGACCACGTCCACTTTTGGTGCCGCAAGCACGGCTCAGCCCTTGCACAGTCCTGGCTCTGCAGTTGCAGGACTGCTTCCGATCATCATCGGGTGGGTGCTTCCGGCATGCTTTGTACAGAGGGGAACTTCAAAACTCAGGAACCTGTACATGTCACGGCCAAGCCAATAACCACGCTAACTACTCCGACAGATTAATTACCCGGAGGCCCCGAAACCACTGCAGAAAACTTTCCTAAATGCCAAAAATCATGCTGGCACTCTAAGACCTGTTGGAGCCTCCAGGAGACCTTAGCCATTGGCGCGTGTTTGCGTCAAAGAGTTTGGGCTTAGGATAAATTTCTGACCCAGAGCCATCAATAATATCAATAGGCGTAGCCGCTTAGAACCAACAGAACCAGGAAATAGCTGCTGCCTGTAGTCTCCATTGTAGTTCCTTTTGGGGGTTACCTATAAGATGCTTACTATGTAAATGGTTAAACCAAAAAAAGAACTACAATGAGGAAATGCCCAGAAAATCCAATACCTGCAATTACGGAATAGACCTTAAATTAAAGAGGCCTTAATATTATTAATTAGTTAAGGTATATTCCTTAATTCCCTTACAGAACCCTTATAGATCCCTTTTGGGAACCCTTTAAGGAACCCTAAGGTATATTCCTTGACTAAGTGGTGTTGGGATCTCTGGGTCCACCCTGGCCACATACATCAGACATCGAAGCTTTCGTCTCAGGCCGTCTCGGTTTAGGGTATAGGGCTTAGGGTTTGGGTTTAGGGTTTAGGGTACAGGGTTTAGGGTTTATAGGGTTTAGGTACAGGGTTCAGGGTTTAGGGTTTATCAAGCCTCCAACCGGCAGGAAGAATGCAGTCTCCAAGGCGAAGAACTATGTCACTATGCGAGAGTACAATCTGTTAGGCCTTGCTTGCGCGTACCTGCACGAAGTCCACTCTGTCTCTGTCTCTCTGATCCTCTGTGTCTCTCTGCCCTGCGCTACTGTGCCTCTGTGTTTCTGCTGTGTCTCTGTGTCTCTGCTTCTCTGCATATCTGCGTCCCTGTGTCCCTGTCTCTCTCTCTCTCTCTCTTTTTCTCTCTCTCTCTCTCTCTTTCTCTCTCTCTCTCTCTCTCTCTTTCTCTCTCTCTCTCTCTCTCTCTCTCTCTCTCTCTCTCTCTGTCTCTCCCTCTCTCTCCTCCCACGCACACGCACATACATGTGTGTGTGTGTGTGTGCATATTTATTTGCATATATATATATATGTACACATGTAGGCATGGGTAGATAGGTAAACATACCGGACCTATACAGCTACGCATCTGTGTGAGCGGGTACTGAAGAACAGAGAGCACGTATCCTCCGGTGTGTCTCGTGTGTTTAGGTCTGGTGCTCTGAGCCATCGGCTTGCCATCCGGCTGATCTCTGAGCTTGCTTCTGGGAGTCCCAGACACGCCGATATCGGAATGACTTGAAGATTTTGCTGCACTTCCTAAACCCTAAACCTTAAATCGGAGTCTCTGGAAAGCTCCCACCTACATCCCGAAGGATGGCGAACAAACGCAAAGCAAACCCACGATGGAGTCATCCGCTGTATAGCCACCGACGACGGAGGTGTACCTTTCTCGTGCATGTGGGGTCGACTGTAAGCTGTAGGAGTATGTAGGCTTTAACTTTAGTTGCGGCCCTGCACCCTCAACCTCTAAAACCAAAGTTTAGGGGCTTAGACCGACCAAGAAGAAACAAACGATGCTTGCTGCACTACGACGGTACATGCTGCTGCCCATTGCGAAGTGCTTGATCACCACCCGAAAATGTTTCCTCAAACATGAGCACAGAACACACGCGGATGCTCGCATGGAGCATGTCGCAATTTACTGCCTGAGGGGCAGACGAGAGAAAGGCCTCGAAGGTTGTCTTTGCTAGAAGCTGGTTCACTTTACCGAGATGTTGCGCCAAGCTGAGCGATGGCAGGAAATTCTACGCAAAGGATATCCTAACAAGGTCCGTTGATCTCCGTCACCTTTCCGAGGACTTAGGTTTAGAAGTGTTCTTCCGCATACCACGCAGGCACGTCTCCGAAGTGACTCGTTGAGGAGCTCCGACAAATCGCCGAGATCGGTTTCCCAGTCTTCACCGTCAGAGTCTGCGCCATCCAGCCCGACGATCGCCCGGTGCAGCTCCTTTGCATGCGATGCTGCATCCAGAGCTGGACTGCCCCTAGTTTATTTTGTGAGATTCAACATGGTCTGAACCTCCTGGCTACTGCAACACAACCCGGCTTGGCAAGCCCTCACTCTATCACCAAGCTCCAACCCGTAATCTCTAGAGCTCCCAACCGTACCCTGAATCCGAACCCCCCTAAGTGGGCCCCTAAGCACCCAAAACAGTAAAGCTCTAATACCCAAACCCGAAACCCGAATACAAAAGCCCAAGTACACAGGATGCCTTCGCTCCGAGAGTCCCGGGTTGTCATTTTCGGGAGCCAGGTCTGCGACATGTGCTTCCGGAGGCTTTCATGGATGCCCAAGGCTTGGAAGCAGGCCTCCGAAAGCCCAGAGATCCCAATAACCCTTAATTAAGGAATATACCTTGGGGTTCCTTAAAGGGTTCCCAAAAGGGATCTATAAAGGCTCTATAAGGGAATTAAGGAATACACCGTAAATCATAAAATTAAGGCCTCTATAATTCAAGGTATATTCCATAATTAAGGGGTTTGGGGTTTTGTGGGAGAGCAGGGTTTAGGGTTTAGGACTGGTTTAGGGGTTAGTTTAGGTTTCTTTCATACATGGGTTGTAAAAGGGGTCTGATGAAAGATGGCTTCATCCTAAGGGGTTCTAGGACTCAGAAGGTCTAGGGGAGGGCTTGCAAATTATGGCTTTTTGGGGCTATCAAGACTATTATCGGTTTCACGGATTTGGAAATGTGGGGCCAGCCCCGAGAGACTGAGCTCCTCATACTCAGACAGGTATGAAGTGAGAGTATCGATTGCCAGACATGGCCATGGTAACAATGGTAGGTGTTGTCGGAGTTGCCCATGCTACCGGGCTACCAGGGCCACGAGCACCATCGTCTTCTGCTTCAGACTGTTAGGGGCTTTGGGGGATCCTGGCCTAAACCCCTAAACCGTAAACCCCAAAACCCTAAACCCCTAAACCCTTAAACCTTAAGCCTTAAACCTATAGCCTTCAGTCTTCTGGGCCTCGCCGACTCGCCGCCCCGCCGTATCGAAGTTGCTCGGGGGTTTTAGGGTTCCGTACTGAATCTCATGCAATGCTTGGACGGCTAGAATGAACAATGTACGATAAATCAAAACGAGACCAAACACGAATCGGCCTACATGATGGGGGCCCCCGCGCCTTCCAATGTCAATCCGAGCCCTCAAACGATCCGAGGGCTCTGGACGTAGGGTTTGAATGTTTCTGCTCGGTTTAGAAAACCCTAAACCCGATCCCCTAAAGAAGGCTAAATGTCCTTAAACTGGAACGGTTAGAAAACCCTAAACCCTAAACCCGAATCCCCTGAAGAAGGCCAGATGTCAGTAAGCTCGAACCTACGAAAACCCCAAGACGTGTGCGCCTCAACAGGATTCTCGCCGGGCTTGCTGAGGACGATCGGGATGCCAGGAAAGCCACCTGGTCTTTCAGACTTTTCTTGCTAAGAAGCCTGACCACAAAAGGTTTGGGGGGTAGCTAGCTTGTGGTGTCGTGTTCCGGGTTGGGGAACTAGTTTCTCAAGGATCCGCCGTCTAAGCGACTGAGCAGTATGTCTTGGAGGTGAAATTCAGCTTTCGGAGGAAATGGTCCGCACATTTGCTAAGCAGCCGTATAAGCCTGTGCACTATATGATAGCATCGCTACATCTTCATGTGCAGATCAACCACTACCCAACTACACCCCACCACACCGTCTAAATTTTCAGGGCGGAATGCCTGAAACTGGCCGCATGTCGGACACGATTCTCTGCGCTTCTGCCGGCGCGATGTCCATGTTGTAGACCCACCTTAGGGACGAAATAAACCCTAAAAGGTGTCAGGTTCATATACCATATAGGGATTCATGCTATAAGGGTATAGAGCCCTTACTTATAAGGGTCATCTAGTCCCCAAGGCACTTCTTGGAAGCGTCGTGCCGGAAGAGAAGCAGGTACTCCGTCACTTCTGGGTTCACCAGGTACATCGGCGACGGGTCAAAAGTCAGCACGGCTTCCAAGACAGCACCTGGGTTCCCATAATAGGGATCTATAGTACATGATAAGGAATTCGATATAAGTTACCAGAATCGGGATCTATAGTAAATCATAAGGTTTTTTGATTATGGTACCTTTCAATACATCCTTTCACAAGAACCCAGGCACCGGTTGTGATACCCAGCTCTGACAGGGTCTTGTCCCCAGCCAGAGGGCCTGTGGTCGACAGCAAGTCGCCTGGCGGTTGCGAGCACATTTGCGATGTCTCGATAGTTGCTATGGTCTTTTTAAGATAATCTATACTGAACTTAGAACCCTAGCACAATTTGAAATTTTAGCTGTTCCTTAGGGATTATAATAACCAAAAATTAAAAATTGTTTGAAAGTACCCCTGAGTAATCTAGCAGTATCAGATATCAAGAATCAGGGCCCCGACCCTGCCTACAGCTCCGGTTGGGGTGTGCTTCTGCAGCTCCCGCTGCAAGCTTGAGATCGATCCAGCGGCGGGCCACGCCAGAGACGTCAAGAAGCTCCCCGATGCAGCATAAACGATGGTGAGCTCGACCGTTCCGTCTGTCGCCATCCCAAAAACAGCACCGAGGCTTCCTAATTCGAGTGTTAAGGTGGCTGGAACCGCTGCCTGTCCGAGATGGGTGACGGTCTGTTGGGGATGCTTACATCCCAAGCAGGCACATCGTCGTGGAAGAAAAAGACTGACTGCATTCTTCTGAGTCTGCTTTCCAAGACCTTGGCAAGCTGTAACTCTTGAGCCTCGGATTGCGACCACGGCACATGTACTCCTACCTGGACCCCACAAGTATGTAGAATAATAGCCTTGTTATAGGTATTTGGCCATTATGCTCCCTACTTTTAGGGGTCCGGCTAACTTCAGATAACTGCGGTGCCTAGGACCTGCTTCTAGGTAGCCAGCTCTTCTCCCGCATGCGCAGCCTTGTCTGTGACCTCAGAGACCCTCTAAGGTAGGAACCTGATTAAGAAACCCTGGGGCCTTTCTTAGGGTTCCTTGTATGAATCCTACTACTTTGGGGCTTGTAGGCCCAGGGTTTCTTAATCAGGTTCCTACATTAATTAGACCGCATGGTGTCCCACTGCGCAAAAGTCGCTCGGCGTAGGATGCCGATGCTTGAGCAGCTTCCCCTAAGGCTCCATGTGCCCATATAGTATATACTTAGGCCTTAAGGTACCTATATAGGGACCCCCTTTAAGCCTTAAGTGTCTATCATAAAGGTACATGGAGCCTTTGGGTTCGGGTCGGAGAGCCGAACCTTCAACCCGAGAAATCACGGCAGCCAGCCTCTAAACTGTCCTGGCTCGGCAGCTTGTCCTAAGACATGTCAGCTGTCTGAAGGTGTCGGGTCCGGGCTCAGGGGTTCAATGTCAACAGCGCGGTTTACCGAACGAAAGAGACAATCAACCCCCCCCGAAAGCAAAACAACCGTGCTTCTCGTAGGCTGCAACTTTTCCTGAGCTCACATTCGACCGAAATACCAAACCCCTAAGCACCCAAGATATTAACGTGATAATTTTGGACAACAGCAAGACATCCGGCTTGAGCTCCAATTCTCCGGCCTTGGCACAACACTTCTGCATCTTACGACAACGAGGATGTTGGCTTAGTGATAAGTGTTTCGTGGAATCGAACGTAGCTTGGGACTTCAGGGTGGGGTCTCGGGGCGAGCAGCTATTTAATTTATCGAAACCTGACAGAACAGCCCTGAACCCGAAACGATCAATAACAGACGCAAACCCCACTCCCCGAACATATAACAGCGAAACCCTCAACCACTACGCCTCACACCCCAAAGCAACAAGTCGAGCAACCGCGGGTATCTGAGGCAGCTACAGCCTCACCATCCCAGAGGCTGTCCAGATTCTCCTCAGAATACTGATGAGCATGAGCCATGAAGGTATGAAAGCAAGAGCCATGAGGAACTATTTTTTTCTGAATCTCGAGGGCGAGCTCGTGGTGTCAGAACAATGCAGCTAATCAAGAAACCTTGATATTGTCCTGTAGCCTTTGAGCCCGATCTTTGTATGGGGAGGCTTTCGCTGCAGTGAAGGTCTCCAGGTAGTCGGCCTTCAAAGTCTGATATGAGATCCAGGGGTAGCTTGAAACAATCGTCAATATTGGGAAATTATCATCTTTGAGTTTCAGAACCTTCAGAAAACAGTGTACTCCGATGCAGACCTCAAATAGCCCCAGCCCTGCTAACCGCGGATTCCGAATTCTCTCAAACCCCCCATCCGTGGTGCACCGAAGCTTGAATGCAGACTTCCTCGAATTCCATCACATAAGCCACGTCTTTCGGATTGTCGCAACCCCTTGGGTCACATGGTGCCTGTCCTTGTAGATCCGGCGGTGGCAGAGTTCTATGACCTGCAGGCAGTCGACGATTGACATGTCACAACATCTAAATACCTCCCGTATTGGGGGAGGGGGGTGGGGGCGGTTCCGAAGATAGGGCCCCTTACTTGGCATCCTAAATAGACGGATCCTTATATAAGGACCCCAACATAGGGTACCCCATTTTCGGAAACACCCATATTGAAATGGCTCAGCCACGAAGCTTCTCTCGGAAGCCGCTAAAGCCTTACTGAGCCTACAATTGCACCCCTGAGCCCATAAGTTCCAAATCAAATGAAATCAACGACGTCGCAGTCCGACTTGCGGGCCTAAAGCTGCATTACCACAGCGCTGGAAAAACTGATATGCACTATGGTGGAAAACATCAAAAGACGGTGATGAGCAACCAGCGTGACGGAATAAAAGCCAAGAACTAAAAGAAACCGACGCTGCCTGCTGGTACATCATCAGGCGCTGCTCCGTCAGAACACACCCGTGGCCAAGCCCGCCCTGCGGACTGAAGAGCAGGCGAGTCACACAACAGTAATTGCTGTTACAAACAAACACACGCGGCTATGCCTGCTTCTGAGCGAATTTTGTACCTGCACGATCTTGTCAAACACACACCTCGTAGTGGCTTTTCTCTTGACCAGGCCACGTCGAGCATTCTAAGCAGCTACAACCTGCTCGGTTGCATCCACAGTCCCATGAGCCCCCGAAGACCAAACACCGATTCCTTCCGCTTTCGTGCGCGGCGGAGCAGCTGGCCAAAGTTCGGGTGCTCCACGAGCATCCAAGCCTCGAGACGCTCTACAGGCTACGTGTGAACATCTTTTAAATAGTGTTCTTACTAAGATCTCTTCGCAGAGACACCTAGGGTTTTGAGAATTCTGGCTTCCATGCCCCCTGTTGCTGAAAAACCGTCGTTGATGCATGTATCAATAAGACAAACATGAGATCGCATCTGTTGTTGGTATCTTGGTCAAGCAAGACTGCTGCAAGATGACATCCGCATGACTCCAACTAGACACTTATCTGGACCTGCTGGTCCTATATCGAAGCTCAGAACACATCAAGCTCAGATTCGCTTTGCGACTACGGCCCCCTGGAACAGTTTCCAAGAAGAGCCCTCAACCTGTCAGGGTGGCTAGAGCACTGCTCTTCGAAAGTCCAAATCGAGAATTACTTGGGACTGCAAGCTTCACAAGGAATGAATAAGCACCAGAACATTTCTATATATATATATATATATATATATACAGATATATAGATATATACAGATACAAGAGCAGTTGTCGTGCCATGGACTAAGTTCGCTAACTGGATACGATCTGGTGTCTGGGAGGAAGCACCTCCGAATCCGGCATCAGCGCGGTGCTGGAGCTAGCTGTCCCTGTCGGCGACACCTGCAGCTTCGCGTCTGTAGCATAGACACAACTGTCAGGATGGGATCCAAGCATGAAGCCATGGATCGTGAATGTACGCATGCATGCATGCGTGTATGCATGAATGTATGCTTGTATATACAGACCCATGCATGTATACAGACACATGCATGTATGTACTGTAATGTATAATGTGATGTAATGTAATGCAGTGTAGTGTAGCGTAATGCAATGCATGCATGCCTGCATTTAGTATATAATATATGTATATACATATACATGTACCTAAATATTGGTATACATATAAAAACATATAAATATAAAGCTATATGTATGTATAGGTGCATGACAACCCAATGAAAAGCAGCTGAAGGTTCTGCAAGCTCAAAGAGAAATCATGGATGGACGGCTCGTATAGGACCTGATACCTGGCGCTCATATGACTCGAGAGCAATTTCGATGAACTCAGGGATAGCATGATGTTCGATATTCGGCACTATAGGTGCCTGGCGGTTTACATCGCGTAGAAGCGCGGAGATTGCAAACCCGTGCATCCAAACAGCGCAGATTCATGTTCAGAAACGCACAAAACTGCTCTGGCCTTGTGCCGGCGGAGGTTGTTCATCGCCTTATGGCAAGGATCTCGCCGTGAGCGTGGCTCCGTACATAGGAGCTGGCTCAGCTGACGATCTCGATGCTGATACGTGAGCGCATGACGACCAGCCCAATATTTTGACATGAAGAAGAGACAACAATGACTAAACCAACTGACTATAGCCATGCTCTGGCATTTCAGTTACGCCGAGTCCACAGTACAGTAAGTCTCAGGAGAAGTGCAGACGCATGCGGGTCCTTCGTCCTTCGTTCTCTGGTGCTACTCATTTGCAGACCCCGACAGCGATCCGAATTGGGTGAGCGAGCACATAGTATCGCACACACACACACACACAGACACAGACGGAGGAACCGCCTATCGGACTATCGATTTCGGCCGAGGTGCGGCAATCGGGGGGTCACCCCCGCCCTCGCGCTTCTTGAAGCGGACGTCCGAATCCTGGCTGTAGGCTTTGGCTCCTACTAGTAGCTTAAGGTGCAGCAACAACGAAAAGCCAACAAAATCCTTCTGCGAGTGTCGCGAGCTACATATCCTCTGGAACGATGTTCAGATGTTCACGTCGTCTTACAAGCCAGTGCACATTCTGAGGCGTCGGTAATCCCTGCAGTTGCGAGTTTTGGCAGAATCTCGATAAAGATGAGATGTCAGCTCCACCAGCATGTTCGAATTTTCAGAGTACATTTACAGGCTAAATGGCTACACAACCTCGACCCTAGGACTGGACTGTGGGTAAATCGTGGAGCCACACCCAGTCTTGCAGACCTGTAACGGCCGTGTCCTGAGTGAGCTCCACCCAGTTACCTTTGCGGCGTCGAACTCCGACAACATCCCCCTGGCATGCAGATGTCTTGGGTTGGTCATCAGCCACGGCTTGCAAACAGAAACAAGACTTGCTTAGCAACATGCGAAGAAGTGAGCATGAGCGTCTGCTCAAACACGTCCAAGCTGTGCAAGCCTGCAGCAAACCCCAAAAATCTGCGCAAGACTCTTGTTTCCAGGGTCTTTTTGGCACCTTCAATACTATCTGGAATGTGGGCCCAGGCCTCGAATTCAACACAAGCTTGGCTGCAGCTGCTGTGCCGTCAGAGTCGCCATCACGATTTGGGGTTGTAGGGAAAGTTTAGCTTAATCATGAGCTTCGCCTACGGATAGTCGACACGGCAAGCAATGAGCGCTGCAGCTCGGAACATCTGCGTCTGAGAGAGGCGCCATCGCATTTCCAATGACTTCTGAGTCGATGCGAACAAGGATCTGTACCACTCTCCGGCGCTCCCGGGAGCAGAATGGGTAGAAGTACTTAGCCTTGAATCACGTCCTCCGTAGTGGTGCAATCGAGGATGTGACAAGATATACAGCAGGGTGTCAACTCGAGCGGCCGCGAGATTCTCGTGCAGAGGGCTGCCGGCGAGGCAGCAGGACAGCCACGGATGCACGGAGGTGATACGAGCGAAGCGCTCTGAAGAGCAGAGCAGATGACGAGTCAAATCACGAATGCTTCACTGAGTACAACAGACACTAGACTCTAGTCGTCCTATACCTCACTCACATCACAAGCAGGATCGGAACACCATCGAAAATCGTTTCAAGACGTCTCGACCTTTGAGCTCGGTTTAGATGCAAGATCTGAACTGAGATATATGCTTCCACAAGGATGGGACATCCTTCAGGCCATGCTTGGCACTGCTCCCCGGCTAACATGGACAGTGTGCGAAGTGGAGGTGATGCTTGGGAGATTTTATTGCGGCACAGTTAGTATGGGGAACGCACCATCCACATCGATGCACCCAGCACTTTCCCATTTCATGGTCACATCTCTGCCGCCGGAAGGATGCTCGAGCACAAACTCGAATTGAAGAGAAGCCTACCACGACAGGAAAGCTGCTGGTCGAAGTGTACTGACGGGCGAGATCTCTCTGATTCCCACGGCACACGGCCCTGGCCCTGAGATGCGAACCTGGGCAAAGCAGACGGCAGGAGGATCCCAACTCGTTAGGCACACACCTGTCCTTGGATGAACTCATGCAGTGGTGTGATTAATGTCATCTCGCAGGGAGGAAAACAGATACTGGACATGATGATGGTGTGTAAAGCTTGGACGTGGTTTCTTAGGGGTGCAGGCTCCAGGATGTCGGAGATTGACCCATGCGGCTGCTTGCGTCACAGAATGCTTCAATTCGAAAAGACAAGATGCATCGGATACGTTCGGACGGCAGTCTACCTGTTGACACCAAGATGTAGCAGCTCCCCTTGTGCAGAACCGAGCAGCTCTTGGCACCAACACTTTGCCGCCACACATCCCACTGGATCGGCCACGGCTGAACTGCGGCAAGCGACAAGCAAGCCCTGCTAATGCCCTGACGATGAGCTTGATGTCATGCGCAAAGTTCCACGTTGGTCTTACGAACAAGGTAACAAGGGTGGCAATAGACCACGGATGCATCCGTGAATGTGCTCTCGTCATTGAAGTCCAAGCTCAAGGAGGTCAGTCTCTGCGGCAATCGACCAGCGAGCTCCTTCAGAGATGCATCCGTGAACTTGCTGCTCGATGCATCCGTGAACTCGCTGTTCCTGAAGGCCAAGCTCAAGGAGGTCAGGCTCTGGGGCAATCGACCAGCGAGCTCCTTGAAAGATGCATCCGTGAACTCGCTGTTCCTGAAGGCCAAGCTCAAGGAGGTCAGGCTCTGGGGCAATCGACCAGCGAGCTCCTTGAAAGATGCATCCGTGAACTCGCTGTTCCTGAAGGCCAAGCTCAAGGAGGTCAGGCTCTGGGGCAATCGACCAGCGAGCTCCTTGAAAGATGCATCCGTGAACTCGCTGTTCCTGAAGGCCAAGCTCAAGGAGGTCAGGCTCTGGGGCAATCGACCAGCGAGCTCCTTGAAAGATGCATCCGTGAACTCGCTGTTCCTGAAGGCCAAGCTCAAGGCTCTTTCCAGGCTCAAGGAGGTCAGGCTCTGGGGCAATCGACCAGCGAGCTCCTTCAAAGATGCATCCGTGAAATCGCTCTCCTGAAGGCCAAGCTCAAGGAGGTCAGGCTCTGGGCAATCGACCAGCGAGCTCCTTCAAGATGCACCGTGAACTCGCTGTTCCTGAAAGCTCAACAAGGTCTCTGGGGCAATCGGCCAGCGAACTCCTTCAAAGATGCATCCATGAACACGCTGGTCAAGAAGGCCAAGCTCAAGGAGGTCAGTCTCTGCGGCAATCGACCAGCGAGCTCCTTCAGAGATGCATCCGTGAACTTGCTGCTCGGATCATCCGTGAACTCGCTGTTCCTGAAGGCCAAGCTCAAGGAGGTCAGGCTCTGGGGCAATCGACCAGCGAGCTCCTTGAAAGATGCATCCGTGAACTCGCTGTTCCTGAAGGCCAAGCTCAAGGAGGTCAGGCTCTGGGGCAATCGACCAGCGAGCTCCTTCAAAGATGCATCCGTGAAATCGCTAGTCCAGAAGGCCAAGCTCAAGGAGGTCAGGCTCTGAGGCAGTCGACCAGCGAGCTCCTTCAGAGATGCAGCCGTGAACTTGCTGTTCCTGAAGTCCAAGCTCTGGGGCAATCGGCCAGCGAACTCCTTCAAAGATGCATCCATGAACACGCTGGTCAAGAAGGCCAAGCTCAAGGAGGTCAGTCTCTGCGGCAATCGACCAGCGAGCTCCTTCAGAGATGCATCCGTGAACTTGCTGCTCGGATCATCCGTGAACTCGCTGTTCCTGAAGGCCAAGCTCAAGGAGGTCAGGCTCTGGGGCAATCGACCAGCGAGCTCCTTCAAAGATGCATCCGTGAACTCGCTGTTCCTGAAGGCCAAGCTCAACAAGGTCAGGCTCTGGGGCAATCGACCAGCGAACTCCTTGAGAGATGCATCCGTGAACACGCTGGTCAAGAAGGCCAAGCTCAAGGAGGTCAGTCTCTGCGGCAATCGACCAGCGAGCTCCTTCAGAGATGCATCCGTGAACTTGCTGATCGATGCATCCGTGAACTCGCAAGTCCAGAAGGCCAAGCTCAAGAAGGTCAGGCTCTGGGGCAATCGACCAGCGAGCTCCTTGAAAGATGCATCCGTGAACTCGCTGTTCCTGAAGGCCAAGCTCAAGGAGGTCAGGCTCTGGGGCAATCGACCAGCGAGCTCCTTCAAAGATGCATCCGTGAACTCGCTGTTCCTGAAGGCCAAGCTCAACAAGGTCAGGCTCTGGGGCAATCGACCAGCGAGCTCCTTCAAAGATGCATCCGTGAACGTGCTCTTCCTGAAGTCCAAGCTCAAGGAGGTCAGGCTCTGAGGCAATCGACAAGCCAAAGCCTGCAAGGCATCTTGCATTCTGTACGTACATAGCAAACTGTCTAAACAAGCTTGCTTAGCCATTAGAATCATTAGATGTGAGGCACACCCACCCCGAAGCCTGCGGCTCGACTAGGCACCATGTTGTCGCAGCAAATGCCTGCATGGTCTCCTCGGTCGGCAGCGCTGCTTCAAAGAGCTCTATGGCTATGGAGGGTGAGGTTTCCACGCAGCCCTCCTTCACCGAAATCTTGCAAAGCTCGGCGTCGTCGCCGTCTACGTCTTGCTTCAAGATAAAGAAATCCAAGGCCAGCTGTTCCGAAGCTGTCTTTCCCATCGCGAGTCTCACCACACAATCGAGTGAATGCGCTTTCTGCCGAAGCTCTCTGTGCAGTACTACTGCAACCGGCAGTCTGTCAGTGCTCCCCACTGCTGCTTCCAGCAGTGAACAGATCTCATGCGGTGACACGCCATGAAGCACTGACCGCCAGTCGAGGCGCCCGGCCAGATGCTCCGATTCCCCGCGAAAGCGCATGAACTCCTTCTGGTAATTGGGTGAAGGCGCGCCGCAGGTCTGCATCGCCTTGAGCAGAATGAGAGCAGCCCGAAGGAAGAGAATCAACAACGGTGTGAAGAACTTTGAGGACTGGTCCTTTAGTCCAGCGAGGCAGGCCTCGTACACTTTGCGTTTGGCCGTGTGGAGGCGGATGAACCACTCGGGCATTTTGCCGTCCTGCCAGTTCGGCAGCATATCCTGGTGCTGAACGACCAAGTCGACCAGAGCCTCCAAGTCGAGGGCCCGCTCCCACTCGTGGGCGTGTGTGATGTAGGATCGCAGCTCCCGGGCGGTCTCTGCCATGCCTTTCGCCAGCAAAGCAAGGTCCACCTGCAGCTGCTGCCTCACCTCCGTGACCACGGTCCGCGCGTTTGGCTCGTTGATTTTGTCAGGCGAGAACATCGAACACAACAAGGGCAGGTACGGCTCGACATTTCTCAAGCTTGCCACCGTGCATCCCATCTGCACCTGGCCATCCATGACATCGTGCAGCGAACTGAGATACGAATCGGGCTTGTCGGCCATGCTGTGGCTGGAAGGTATGGGAACCCATATGCCAGTCACAGTTTTTCCGAGCCACAAAGCGGACACCACGTGCTCAAAGTTGCAGAATCGCCCCAACAGCTCTTTGAGATGAGGAATTGGATCCATTCGGTTCGCGATTCGAAGGGTCACTTTGTCCAAGCCCATGTCTGCATAGAGTTTACCTAGCTCTGTACTTCCTAGCGGCGGGCTGCCAAAGGTGACCACTGCCACCACAGGCCACCCGACAGAATGGAGGTGCATGGCCGCCAATGTGGCCAGCGCAGCACCCAACGAGTGCCCTGAAAGATGGATTTTGGAGGGTTGTGGGAAGATACTCGCCAGTTTCTCAAGCCACTGCAAAATATCAGCCTGCACTGTCAGATAGGCATCCTGGAAGCCCTTGTGCACCAGAATGGCGCTGAGGTCTGAACCCGGCACAAGCTGAGGGCTGAGGGGCACAGCCTCTGTGTCCAAGTCTGTAAAGACATTCGCATAGTTGCTTACGCCATTGGCATCGGCAAGCACAGTCCCTCGGAAGCCGAGCTCCACAACTCCACGACCCAGCTTGCGGCCGACGACTCGGGTATTTGTGGGGCGTCTGTCGGCGACGATCTCCCAAAGAACTCCTGCTTCCTCGACATGATGCTGCCGGACGACATTGTATGGGGCCTTGGCAAGACGCCAAAACCTCTCAAGTTCACTGCCTGCGAAGGAGCTAGCAGAAAGCAACCTCGATGCAAACGGTGCACCACCATCAGGTTGGGCATCCAGAGGCACCGGGACTGCCGATGCATTGCTGACCTCATGATCAAGAGTCGCCGACGAGAGAGACCCAAGGATTGGAGTGACATCCAAGTCAAGGGCCGTGGCCGATGAAGTGTCAGCCTGCAAAGTGCGGTCGATCTCATCAGAGCTTCCTGAACGATTTGCGGAAACCTCTGCGAAACTTTGCTCTGGAACATCTGCGCTGCCCGGCGAAGCCATGCGCAACGCCTCTTGGACGGCTTCCTGTGCCATGGCCTGCAGCTGCTCCTTGAACTTTTGGAGCTGGGCATCTCTACTCGCCAGGTTCCCACGGAGTTCGTGGACTTCCTGCTCCTTGACCTCGAGGCCCACCTCAAGCCGAGACAGCTTCCGCAAGATCTGAGGGGATAACACCATGGAAGCCTGTGCAGCCTCCTGGCCACTCCCAATTCCATCTAAATCTAAGCTCTTTGCCTTCGTCACAAGCACCTCCAGAGCCTCCGGAAACTCCAAAGAGCTCGCTTGCATGATATCATCTGCTGTGAGTTGCTGAAGCTTGCCCAAGCATTCGAGAAAGTCCCCCTCGTCGTCGCTCTCAGCCACTGCTGTGAATGGCGGGCCGCGGTTGCCCACAATTACATACTTCTTGAAGCCGGAGCCAACGAGCATGGAGAAGAGGCCCCAGCCGTCGTTCCGGTAGCCTGGCAGCATGTTGCGATGTCTTGAAACTGGCATTCTCAAGGAGCACATGCTTTTCATCATACTCATGCACAGCCCACCGCATGAATAATTTATTGACACAAATAACGGCCTCGAAAGGCGCCTTCGGCATTTACAGGCGTCCACTTTCCATCCTCCTGCCACTCACGAAAGCTCGCCTTTTGGAAGAAGGGCATGTCGCCTTAGCTCTGGCCAAACTCAGTCGTCAGCTTTTTCCCTTTTCGGGATACGGCAACCTACTATGACTTGTTACTTGCATCTGATCATGGAGGAAGCTTGAAGGAACTCGGAAACGCAAACATACCCTTAAAGGGAGCTATAGGTTCCATCATAAGGGTTCCATCATAGGGTAGAGCGAGGCCATCTTCTGACGAGTTGCAAGCTGCCGAGAGGAGCGAGGGACTCGGGATATCTAAAGATTCTAAATTCGGCAATGCGCTGAGCCGATATTCGGAGACCAGCTTTGTAGTACGGTATCCTGATGTAAATAACAGGGCAGCAGAACGTCCCGTGTCGTGCATGACTATGTACTAGCAGCAGCTGTGTCTGCAAATCATGTCGTGCCAGCAGCGACATGATGCTGTCGCATGATCCGCGCGACTCCCTCGAAACTCTACACTACGATACAGTCTCCGAAGCTTCTAAGCCAGTGGGTAAGCTACACGACTTTCTTGAGTATGATCCCTCGGCCCGGAAGCAGAAAAGAGCCCACCTTGATCATGATGCCCATCGGCCGCTCCGAGGTGGAGGGCCCCCGGCGCACTACTACCTGCAATTTAAACATTCTGTTAGGGGCGCAGGTATTCTTTAATGGTTGTGCTGTCATAAAAACCTTTCTTCGGGCTTACACAAATGGCCCAATGGATCCGAGTACGACTTGGGATGCCCGGACAAGATATGTCTAATCACTACGAAACACACAACCGGTATTGTGTAGGGAAGCCACTAAGGAATACTACCACTTAAGGCTCAGAATAGCCCAACAGCCTTGTACAGTATGCCGCCCTGGCCCCAAGAGCATGCAAATAGGGATCCATAGAGCCTTAGGGTACACATAAGGTTTACTGGTGTCCAAGACGGATCCCCTGCAAACGTATGTCGCATAAGGTTTACAAGTCTGACCATTCAGAACAACCCTTCAAGCCCGATACTGTCAGGCTTCTTTATATGAATCGGGGTGCTCGGCCCAGGGTTTCTTAATCAGGTTCCTACATTAGACGAGCAAGAGCCAGGGTGGACGACGGACCCTTCAGGCTCTCTGTTTCTGAGAAGCTTTGGTGATGTCAGCCTTGGGAGCGACCTGAGGCTCCCGATGAGGCACCGGGGGAAGCCAGATGCTCTCGATTTTTGTTGTTCTTTAAGGGCCTTTTTGCATCTCGATATAGAGTTTAGGAGTGTAGGGTTTAGGGCTATTTTCCATTGGTCCATGTGCTTATATTGTTTTTACATTATCCTCAAGGTAGTTCCTATATAGGTACTTTGGGGAAGAAGTGTATGCTATTTGTGCACGTGGACCCTGGGGGCTACGAATATGCAGGACTCTACACATTGCAAAAGCCACGAAGGAACCCCAAGGGATAACTCGAACATCAGCACTAGCACTAGCGATTGTTGTTGATTTTGCATCAGCTTTGTGGATTCTTGTTGTGGGACCTCTAGAGCCAGGGCTGCATACGTGCATTCCATGCGAAATTCTAGGGGAAGGTTCGAGGATGTAGGGTTCAGCCGTTCTGACATGGCGGGAAGTCCAAGGCCCCTGCAAGTGGTGAGAAAGACGAAGTGGAATGCAAGAAGACAAGAACAGCTGTGCATTCGCCTGTCAGACAGTCCCCCAAAAATCATAGATACAAGAATCCTGGAGTGTCACCGAAGCACGGAATACATCGAGCGTCCCCGAAGATATGACTTGCTGGGCTTAGCCCAGGGATCCCAACACCCCTTAATTAAGGAATATACCTTAATTCATGATATTAAGCCCACTATGATTTAAGGTATCTTCCTGAATTAGGGGATATTGCGTTCCCTGGGAGTGTCTCTTCCTGGCCTGATCGTGCTCCACTACCCATGGCTCTCCATAGGAGGCCAGTTCCTGAGCTGCACTGCTGCATGCTTAGAGTGATCCCTTGAGGCTTCAGGGGTTCAGAGTTTAGGGTTTAGGGATTTATGGTTTTGGGTTTTAGGGTTTTACGTTTTAGGGTTTAGGGGCTTAGGGTTAGGAGATTGAGTGATGGCTGCTGAGATCTCTCAGAGCGCATCGCGGACATCCCTGAAGCTGAAACGGGAATTGGGGTTTGAAGAACTTCCATATCGATGGGTGTACCAAATGATGTCAGGAAGCCTTCAAAAACCGTCAGGAGCCTGTAAACGCTTGCAATCTTCGGGTGCCAAGCCAACCCCAACAGTTTTGCTAAGGTTCGGTAATGGTGACGCCGGTGTCAACGGCAGTGTGCCGCCTCGGGCAGTGCAAGTTTGTGCTCCTCTGGTCTTCAACTGCTTGCCGGTCACTTGTGTCGATCCAATTAATTCTATAATCCATCGTAAATTTTCGATGCTGCAAATCTTGTTGTGCTTGCTTGTTCCCTGAAGCACAGAGCGGCGTTTCAAGTCATGTGGACAGCCAGCGTTCTCCTCTTGAGCCGCACTTCCTCCGGCTTGGTAGCAGCCAACACTTGCACAGGATAGGGAATCGGGGAAAGGTCCAGGAGATATCGTGCAGCGCGCTCAGTCGCATACTCGCAGTGTTCTCATTAAGAACATCCCGGAAATCGCGAGGTTCGTGTACAAAGCCGAGATGGAGCAAAAACACAACAATATGCAGCAAAAGTGCAGGGCTCTTGCGCCCCAAACCCCATCCTCGAAACAAACCAATTCGGTCCCCGCAACACCTATTGGTCAGCCTCAATAGAGGCCCTTCTGCTGACTCCATCTTCACGTAGCCAGACCTGGCACGGGGAGGGGTTGTAGGCCTGTAGCTTCTGGGATTAGGCCCTGGGCACTGCAAGGGTGCAATTCGGCCTGGGATCGTTTACGTTTCGGACGTGACACCGAAGGGTAGCGAGTGAACCCGAGACCCCAGCACTTAAAATCTGCATCGAGAACCTGCATACAATTACAAGAAGGTTTGCTTATCGCAAAATCCGTTACCCTATTGTCTGCTGCCGAAGCGGCTCCGGACAACTTATGTTGGTCGAACTGTTGAAGCCACGTCCGGAGCAAGCGGAGGGATGTCCGAGACGACCAGAGTATGCTCGGCTCCAAGGTATCCCAAGGGCCTATGTGGCCAATACTTTGGCCCCATATTTGTGTGTCTGTGTGTATTATCTATCTACCTATCTATCTATCTATCTATATATATATATATATGCGCACTACATGAATACATGGACACCAAGGGGTATTGCAATGGCGAACCAGGGTCATATTTCCTCAATGTCAGTGTCAGGCGGCATGCCTGTGCACAACATCCGCAAACTTTCAGCTCGAGGACATCGGAGAGACAGCAAACCAAATAATCCACTTTAACTTATGTCCCTATTCCTTGTTTTCGTGTTATCCTAGCAGTTTGAAAGAAGCATGGTTCACCAAATAGCTGAACTACAATGTACAACAGGTAGGTCCTGCTTCAGACACGGGCTGACACACACACACACACACATCCTGCCTCAGGGTGCCCTGTGGTCCAAGCAGGGATTCGCCGTTGCGATAGACCTCAACGTCGGCTCGCGCATCTCTCGCTTTAGGGTTTATGGGGTTTAGGGTTCTGTCGGCTGAGACAGAGAATCCATGTCGTGGTCCAGCTGAAGGGACAGCGACTAGGATGGCTTCGATGACATTGAAAACACCGACGAAGAACCATTGCACCAACCTTTTGGATTTTTGCGTGTCAGCTCTCCTACGTGCTTTGGAAAGCACTGCAACCCGGCTTTGGGAAGTCTAACGCGTAGTTTCGGAAGTTTCAAGGCTTCCGGTTCAAGCCGGCCTGGGATGTGGGAGGCACCGTGAGCCAGCGGACATCGCCGTCGCGAAAGATCCTTCGAAATCGCATGGTGCATCGGAGAATCGGATTTGAAATACGACAAAGCAGGAAAGCACAACAGGAGCGGATTGTGTTTGTTGATGCTTGTAGGTCTTCTTCGTATTTAACAGGCAGGAGGCTGTGGAATGGCAAGAACAAGCCAATCTTGACAGGAGCAGGCTCATGCAAGCCTTGAAAATCCCCCTTACTTTCACAGCCCGAACCTATAAAGGCCTCAAGCCCTCGTCCTGGCGATGGCATGATCCACGGTGCGGAGCTGATCCCCCTGCCGTACAGAGCCCACACCGTGTGGGGAGGGTGAGAAGCCCTGGGCTCTTCTTGGGCCTCGGTGCCTCTTACGGCCTTGGGGTTTGGGGGCTTCATGATGTGGGTGGTTGTCAAAATTATGGTCCCTTTTTGGTGCCCTAAATATTAGGTGCTGCATTTTAATAAGGACGCAAAAAGGGGACCCTAATATTGACAACCACCCATGTAGCCAGGGCTTCTAGGGCTTTCGAGATCGCTCAAGGTGGGTTATCTGTTTTTCCTGCAGGCGCTGGCGCCTCTTCCAGGATCAGATCATCGGGGGCCTCGTCATCCCGACTGGCGCCTATCCTCACGGCCCAGACTCAGAGAGCCCAATACCCCTTAATTAAGGAATATACCTTAAATTATGAGGGAATTGATAATCTGATTTAAGCTATATTCCTTAATTAAGGGATATTGGGCTCTCTGGGGAGCTGTGGGCGGCTGGAAGGATAAAGAAGGAGATCAGGTCATGGCTTTAGACATTCAGGCCAACCCCTATCGGCTTGAATGAGGCTTTGGGAATGAAAGCAAAGTCTGCCTGCTGATGCTGGAACTGGAAGCAGACAAGAATTGCATGGTGAGGAGTTGTGCAGCGGAGTTCAGGGTTTCGAGTCACGCTTTCACATCTTGGTACTAGCAATGCTCAGTCTGGCGATTGACTATGTGGGACTGTAGCAAGACAGGGTACCTGGGGTCCTTGTTGTAAGCATCCCTAGTAGGTTCGCTTGTTGTCTGACACTCCCACAGTTAACCCTGGCTGCAGACCAAGAAACCACGTACTTTCAACCTGCACGTCTCAAGCCCCATAGACCCAAACCCAAAGTGACCACGACGCCTTGAAACTTGGGGTCGAAGTATAATTACCCAGAGGCCCCATAGTAGTTCCTGTTTGGAATTACCCTATAGGATTCTATATATGAAGCCCCAAAAAGGAACTACTTTGGGGCCTTTGGGTGGTGGAAGAATTGCTCACGTTTGCAGGTGTAGGGAATGGCAAGCACCGGATGGACTTTCAATGATGCTTCTAAAGCATAGAAAGCAGAAGTAAGAGGTACCGAGAAGTGCAGCGATAATGCGTCCCACCTGCTGAAAACGTTCGGCTCTGTTCCCAGAGACTCCAATGTGCCTTACAATTAAGGAATATTCCTTAACATATAGTAGGATCCCTGATATGATTTAAGGTATATTCCTTAATTAAAGGACATTGGAGTCGCTGGGTTCTGCCCTTGCGCCGAAACAGCAGGGAAGGTCCTGCAGGTGTTCGCCAACACGACCCAATGGTCCAGCTTGACCAGGTCCTTGCATGACAGAGCAACGCATGGGCATGTAACAACCCAATCTCCTCTTCCACTTGCGGGCTGGGTTCTACGTTGGTCAGCTTTATACATATAATACAAGTAACATGGAAGGTGCACTGTCTATGGCCTACATGCCAGTATATACTATCTGTAGGCACTGAATCCTCGAGATCGAGAGCACATCCTGGGACCCGAGAACTTCTGGGATCACCTAACTCGCCAGCCTTTGGCTCCTCCTCCCCCCCAACATGCCAGAACCTGAACCACAACCCGGTCTTTAAGGACTTATATGGAAATCATAATAAGGAACCCTAAAAAAAGTTCAGGGTTCAGGAAACTCTGAGGCTGAGGCTATAGTATGCCGCCCGGCGGGACTGCTGCCTGCGCCGGCGCAGCGCACTGCAACGACTGGGGGCTCTCGGGCGCAGGATTCAGCAGCTACGGCGTTTCGGATGGGGAACATCTTGCAATTGCACATGCTTGGGAAAAGGCTTCCGATAATTTACTTTACGGCTTACAAGCAGCTGCACGTACCAGCAACCGTCAACCGAGATCCGATTCTGACACTTTTTGCCCGCAACTTCTCGTGTCCGCGGCGGTAGCAGCACTGTATCCACAGACCTCAGAGAGAGACTAACTGGAGCATTGGGGCAGGCAAAACGAACTGTTGCCAACTAGCTTGTGGTATCACTACGAACTGAGGAGTATGACTCATGAGCCAAACAGGCGTCTGCAAGGCCCCCCCCCGACTTAGGGCTCACCGAAGATCACTCATCGGCTGCAGCGTTGAATGCCAGCTCTCGACGTAAGCAGCAACATGAAAAGCTTAGGTCGACACTAACCCGACCCTCTAAGTATGGTAAGCATCTGGTATGATAAGCATGTAGAACAATCACGAACGTCAAATCTGTAATGCTCCTCAAAAACCCGCCTAACTCTACCCCCTCAAACCCTGAACCCTAAACACCAAGCCCCGAACCCCGCCCTAAACCCTAAACCCTGACCGCCTCCCAAACCTTAAACCCTAAACCCCCAATAGTACCCTTATAGTACCCGGTATGGATCCCTTGAAGGACCCCTAAACCCTAAACACCAAACCCTAACCCCCCTAAACCCTGCCTTAACGCCGAATAACCCACCTTTTAAAGGATTCATATAAGGAAATCATGAAAAAGAACCCTAAGAAGGTAGGTTCTTCAGGGTTGCCTGAACCCTAAACCCCAAACCTTAAACCCCAACCCCTGAACCCTAAACCCAAAACCCCCAAACCCCCAAACCCCTAAACCCCTAAACCCCTAAACCCCTAACCCCTAAACCCCCCAACCCCTCCCCGCAAACGAGGCTTTGGCAGGCCACCCTCGAGGAACACCTCCGTCTGCAATCGCGAAGCCTCAGCGGCGTCTGGGGTGTGGAGTTTACTTGAAGGATCATGGGACTTAGTAAGTGTAGGGTTCCTTAAAGGGATCTATAGGGTTCCTCAAAGGGGTCTATAGGGTTTAGGGAGTACTTAGAGGATCATGCGACTTAGTAAGTAGGTTATAATTGGGGTTATAAGTGCCCTAAGTGGGGTTATCCTTATTATAACCTACTTATAACCTTACTTACTAAGTCCCATGAGCCTTTAAGTAGGAGGGGTTTAGGGGTTAGGGCCAAGGGTCCTTTAAGGGATCTATAAGGGTGACTATAAGGGCAGGAGTCTTGGGTTGTCTACAAGTTTAGGGGTTTAGGGATTTAGGGGTTTGGGTTGTATGGAGTTTTGGGTTTGGGGGTTTAGGGGTTCAGGGTTTAGGGATTTAGGGATTTGGGTTTTTTTGTTTTAAGAGTTTTGGGTTTGGGGGTTTCGGGGTTCAGGGTTTAGGGTCTTAGATTTAGATGCGAGGAGTCGAGGCTTTGGGGTGTATACAAGTTTAGGGGTTTAGGGATTAGGGATTCTAGGTAGAGTTTAGGAGTTTTGAGTTTAGGAGTTTTGAGTTTGGGAGTTTTGGGTTTGGGAGTTTTGGGTTTGGGGGTTTAGGGGTTTAGGGGTGTAGAGTTTATTAGGGTGTAGGAGTCTTGTGTTTTTTTTTTAAGTCTTGTGTTTGGGGTTCAGGGTCTAGGGTGTTGGGCTTTGATGGGGTGTATGCGAGTTTACCTGGTAACCAAGGTACCTTAAACTGAGTAAATCTCATCTCCCTTTTTCAGGTACATTGGTTATTCTAAGTAGGGTTTATGAGTTGAGGGTTTTAGGGTTTGGGGTTCCGGGGTCAGAGTTTCGGGTTTCTCAGGCTTAGTCCACGGCTTCTGGCTCAAAGCTTGGAGATCCGAGCGTTCGGCATCCTGCATCAAAGGTCTGACGAGGTGATTGATACTGGCCATCCTTTCACGGGGTTACACCGTACCCTGCGTGAAGATAAGCGAACCTTCTGATGGATTCAACAATGCTAAGCTTCTAGTAGTGTTTTGAGACCTTGTATATGTGAGCTTCTGTATTTGTTCACGCAGGTTGAATGCAGCCCCAAGCATTGATGAGGCACGAAGCAAAATCTGTTTGCGGAGCATTGCATGCCTCATTACCGGATATACTATAGCACTACGGCACTACGTATGACACCTATGAAACACCTGCCACCGTTTTGGATCTGCGCTATGAAACCCTACCTAATTCGCAACAGCCTTAGCTCAAGGACCTAAGGACCCCTACCCCACTCCTCCCCACCGGCCCGAAAAGGATGCTGGACAACTCCCGATTGTGGTTCTCAACGCTGCTGCATCTCAAGTCTTACATCGTGAAACCTACACCTAAGTTAGCACTCCAACCCTTATAAACCTGTGTGTAGCCCCAGTAGTCTGAATCCTCAAGCCTGACCCTGCATAGGGCCTCACATCTTGAACCCCGTGTCTCTGAGGCTGTCTCCAGGCCGAAACCGAGCAGGACGGACTCCACATTTTTGTGCATATCCGACCTTGGGTCTGCAAAGGACGTGAGGGTTTGAGGTTTCGGATTTGGGTGTAGGGTTTCATGTAATCTTCGTGAGTGAGTCTTACACATGGTCTCGTGAGGGTCCTTCAACCTGAACACACGAAAGTGCTTCCACGAACACTTTGGGTTTGCGCTCGATGTGTCGGGTTCATGCTGTGGCATTAAGGAAAAGGGTAACTGTGGGGTTGGGGTTCATGATTCCATCTCTGCACAACCGTGTCGAGACGCGCTGATCACGCGCATCGTGTTTTTGAGCTTAGCGACTAGTGGGTATAAAGCCCTTGTGAAGGAACCCTGCGAAGAGGACTAAAGTAGTCAGGACCATACTGTGCAAACGAGGGCTGCATCACCGCAATTATCGGCCAGATTGCACTCGAAGCCAGAATGCAGACAACCTGAATCCACCACACAAGCCCCAATCCACATCCGAAACACCTCAACCCTGAAACCCTACAACCTGAACCTTTCCTTTTAAAGCTCTCCAGCCCTATGCCCTGAATAGCCTGAGGCCTGAACCTTTATCTCGAAGCCCAACACCCCTAATTGGTTAGATGGAATCTGACGAGAGGATCTATGCACACAACTCCTCATAAAGCCCTAGCCCTAAACCCCCCCAAACCCAAAGCCCTAAACCCCCTCAAACCCAAAGCCCTAAACCCCCCCAAACCCAAAGCCCTAAACCCCCCCAAACCCAAAGCCCTAAACCCCCCCAAACCCAAAGCCCTAAACCCCCCCCAAACACAAAGCCCTAAACCCCCCCCAACCCAAAGCCCTAAACCCCCCCAAACCCAAAGCCCTCCCTAAACCCCCCCAAACCCCCCCAAAGCCCTAACCCCCCCCCCCCCCTAAACCCCCTCAACCCAAACCCAACCCCCCCAAACCCAAAGCCCGAAACCCCCCAAACACCCCTAAAACCCCCTCAAACCCAAAGCCCAAACCCCCCCAAACCCAAAGCCCAAACCCCAAACCCCCCTAAACCCCCCCCAACCCCAAACCCTAAACCCCCCCAAACCCAAAGCCCTAAACCCCCAAACCCAAGCCCCTAAAACCCCCCCCCAACCCAAGCCCTAAACCCCCCCAAAGCCCTAAACCCCCCAGCCCTAAACCCCCCAAAAAGCCCTAAAACCCCCAAAAGCCCTAAACCCCCCCAAAGCCCTAACCCCCCCAAACCCAAAGCCCTAAACCCCCCCAAACCCAAAGCCCTAAACCCCCCCAAACCCAAAGCCCTAAAACCCCCCAAACACAAAGCCCTAAACCCCCCAAACCCAAAGCCCTAAACCCCCCCAAACCCAAAGCCCCAAACCCCCCCAAACCCAAAGCCCTAAACCCCCCCAAACCCAAAGCCCTAAACCCCCCCAAACCCAAAGCCCTAAAACCCCCCAAACACAAAGCCCTAAACCCCCCCAAACCCAAAGCCCTAAACCCCCCCAAATCCCAAAGCCCCAAACCCCCCCAAATCCCAAAGCCCTAAACCCCCCCAAACCCAAAGCCCTAAACCCCCCCAAAACCCAAGCCCTAAACCCCCCAAACCCAAAGCCCTAAACCCCCCCAAAAGCCCCACCCAAGCCCTAAACCCCCCCAAACCCAAAGCCCCAAACCCCCCCAAACCCAAAGCCCTAAACCCCCCCAAACCCAAAGCCCTAAACCCCCCCAAACCCAAAGCCCTAAACCCCCCAAACACCAAGCCCCAAACCCCCCAAACCCAAAGCCTTAAACCCCCCAAACACCAGGCCCCAAACCCTCCAAACCCGAGTACCCTCCGATGGCCGGAGGCAACTCTCGGATGCCCGGCGAAAGAAGGCCACTTTCGTTCTGAAGCCCCACGGGGGGCGGTGCTTGCCGCCTCTGTCGATCATGACATGCGGACCCCCCAGACGTGCGTAGGAGGTTTCAGGGTTTGGATCGGCTCTAGAACTGATTTAATCCTAGAATGTCACAAATACGCAGATTCCCTGCCTTAGGCTTCGGATATGCAGGGGTTGAAATACCCAACCTAGTCCGAGGCCTGGGTAAGGCTGGTTCTGAAGTTTAGACCCAGAGCCTCCAAACCCCCTTAATTAAGGAATGTACCTTAAATTATATTAGGGATCCTATTATAATTTAAGGGCAATTCCTTAATTAAGGGGTTTTGGAGGCTCTGGGGAGATTGGGGTCTGCAGGGCTGTAGGTTAAGGATTTAAGGGGGTTTAGAGCTTCGGCTTTGGCGGGCTTATGGTTTGATGTAGGGTTTAGGGGTTTAGGGTCTAGGGTTTAGACCCCAACTCCAAGTCAGCATACTTTGGTTCCTGTGACCACGTCTTTAGATAGAGTCTTCCTAAGGTCTAGGGAGCCCCTCTCTTTTCAAGCGGACATGAGGAACAATTCCGCATGTTCTGGTTGGAGACGGTTTCGGGTAGCTGCAAAAACTCAAACTAAACTGAGCCCCGAGAGGCTGAACGAAAAGCAGAGTCCCCAACACTTAGAGGTTCATGGTACTTAGTAACTAGGGTTATAATGCTGTGTTATAACCCTAGTTACTAAGTACCATGAACCTCTTACAAGTAAAGTAACTATACTTATAATTGTCTAATTCCCCAGTTACGGTACTTATAACTGTACTTACTAAGTCCCATGAACCTCCAAGCACGTGTTTCTGAGTTGGGATTGGGGGAACCCTTGGGGACAAAGACCTTCTCAATAAGGTCCCTTGTAAGAGACCCAAAAGTAGGCATAAGAAGGGTCCCCCTGCAAGGGGTCTCCCTTATAATACCAAGGATGTACAGTAGAAGCCAGAAAGTTGGAATATCATTATCGTAACCCCTCTAAGGTAAATTATAGGGGATCCTACCATTAATCCATATATTCCAACTTTCTGGAGTTCCCTATAATACCAAGGATGTAGGGCCCTACGGAGCGAGTTCGTTCACGAGCAGCAATCGGCCAGTCGTTCATGTCTGGTGCCGAGAGGACGAGGCGAGAGAGAGGCTCCAGTAACCCAGAGATCCCAATACCCCTTAATTAAGGAATATACCTTAAATCATAAGATTAAGACCTGTATAATTTAAGGTATACTCCTTAATTAAGGGGTATTGGGTTCTCTGGGTAAGGAGATGAACCACAATCAAAAAGGGAGTTTCCGAAAATAGGGGACCCGAATATAGTTCCGAAATAGTAGGATCCTTGGTATAAGGAGTTTTAAGGAAGGTACCCCTAATGTTCGGAAACTCCCAGCTGAGTGTCACAGGAGCCACCATCAGGTATTTTTTGCGAATCAAGGTAGGTTCAGTCGTGATCAGAGGGTTTCGGAACACCATCATTGATTTGCAAGGCTGCTGGTGCCGCCTCAACCCTGAACCCCAAACTCGAAAGGCATCTAGCCGTGTCACAACTGCTTATTTAAATTTCAACTGCATGAAGAGGCCTCGCTCGGAACTGCGGAAAGTAACGCAAGGCCAAGTAGATCATTGCCTCGATCGTCCAACGATGATTCGGCTTCAGGTCTTAGAGATCTGAGGGACCGAATCATTTCATTCTTGCTTCTGCGCAGATTGAACATTCTGCAATATGTCGGCCTTGGGTTTGGTGGGCATGGTGTTGGTAAGGAAGGCAAACTACTAGTAGTACACGTCTCTCATCCAGCGAGAAGGTGCGCACATCTGAGTTGATGCTTTTACACGAATCCGAATGCCAGGGATGAAGAGGAAGGTTGCAATCGGCAGTTGAATCAGCAGAGCCGTGAGGGATGCATGTCCGTGCAATGAACAGAACCGAGCATGCCCTACGACTACAAATAAACCTCAACAGGGCTCAACAAGGTACCTTCCTCAATCTGTGCTGCTGTTTGAGTGAAAGACCCCTCGCGAGGCGAGGGACAGACCTTTTAACTGGACGGTGAGGGTTTAGGGTTTAAGGTTTTTCCTCTTCTTGTGACTCATGGTCTAGGATGTCGTGCTTTGTTTTTTGGGCACAGGGTGCATCGACTGGAACACCAAGGGGACAGATAGCTACAACAGGTATCAAGGAATAAGCACACCATAGCCTGAGCATGTGATATCGGAACATCCTAGGCTGAACACGGCGTGACACATGTCACAGGGTCCTGCCGTCTGGGTCTTCAATATTGACGCCCGCCTTGTCAGCACATCTGTCGTTTTGTCGATGTAACTCACCGCTTCATAACTTCCATGCTACAGTAAAAGCCAGAAAGTTGAAATATGATTATCCTAGACCCTTTATGGTAAATTATGGGGCTGAAACCATATTCCAACTTTCTGGAGTTCCCTTTAGAAGGGTTTCGCAACTTTGAACCGTCGACTCCTAAACCCTCAATTCCTAAATCCTATACTCTAAAGCCCTCTCGACCCAAACCTCACACTTCCTGACTGTGCACTGCTTCAGCCTGGGTGCCGTGTGGAAAATGTGGGATTGCCAGTCGTCTACCTCGCGACAAGACAGGAGACAAAAATTTTTATACGCTGCGCTGCTCTACCCCAAGGGTCCCAGCACCCAAATGGTAATTATACACTTTGGCCCCAAAGTACCTCTATGTATGTATGTATATATATATATATATATATGGAGGGACTATGTTAAGGCCAATGTATATGCTTTTGGCCTTGGGGTGCCAAGCCTCAAAACACTGCACGACCGGCGGATCTGTGTTGTTCTGAACTTGCTGAACCCTCCACCTTGCCCAAAACCGTAGGCCCCAGACCCTTAACCCCAGAATATGTTGGCATTCGCAGTGGGTCTTTGAAGGCCTATGTATGTTGCCCGGAATTATGGTTAACAGAGCCACTTCACATGTCTTATGGGTCTTTGCAGAGTTTGTAAGGGTCGACTCGTACTTGGAATAGAGATCGAAATCGGGGTGGCTAATACATGGCAGCAGACACATGCTGCGAAGCAATGCGGTTTCTCGGCATCACTCTAAACCCTAAAACCCTAAACCCCTAAACCATAAACCCCTAAACCCGGAACCATGAACCCTAAACCCCCACACACTGGGCTTTTGGCGGAAGCTCAAGGCACCAGCCCTTCAAGGACCCAAGCTTGGCAGCATATATAACTCGACAACGGATCCCAAACCCCTTAAAGATCCGATATCGTCGTTCAACCTCCTCCTAAACCGTGCCACTAACAAGTTATATGCTGTATGCCACATTGCATATCTGACCGCTCTGAGACTGTGCTTCAGGCCCAAGCGTTTCTAGCTAAAACATCACATGCCTAGAGCCTCCATCCAAACCTCTACCAATTGGGGCCATATACACCTAATCTACTGTAACCTGGTCCCCCAAAAGTTTGTAAAATAATGGCCAAATACCTGTCAAAAGGCTATACTTCTACATACTTTTGGGGTCCAGGAAAGGGTCTCGGCACTCAAAACTAGAACCTATACTAATTGGGGCCATATACCCCTAAACCCTAAACCCTAAAGATTCAAGGGTCTTGGTACTCAAAACTGAACACCGGATCCCTGACCCAGGCACCCCAGCCTCGACGTTCTACCATAAGGGCCGGGGGGGTGATTAGTAAGATCATGCGTTTTTATGTTTACGACGTTTTCTTTTTATGAGAGTGTGGTGGGCCTTTAGGGTTTACGGGTTTAGGATTTGGGAGTTTCCGAAAATAGGGGACCCTGATATGATATTTTTACAGTCCCTACGAGTCCCTATGTGATTGTACTGTGACATACCCCAAAACCCTGGTCTTACTGCACAGGCCCCTAAATCATGGGAACTTTCTGGAACCCGCTGCGGCGCCTTCCAACGATCCCTTTTGCAGTCATTACCTATAGTCTCCAGTGTAGTTCCTTGTATTGGTTGACTAATTCTATGGTTAGGATCCTAGAGCATAAATTTGCTTAGCCACAGAAGGAACTACAAAGGAGACTATAGGTACCTTAATCCCTATAATAACCTACCTTTTTTAAGGTTTCAGACAAGGAAAATCAGATTACTGAACCCTAAACAGGCAGGTTTCGTAGGGGTCCTGGGAGTTTCCGAAACTGGGGGACCCAAATATAGTAGCCTAAATAAGAGGATCCTTGTGATAAGGACCCCCCCAAAAAAAGGTACCCCTCATTTTCGGAAACTCCCAGGGAAGGCGCCCAGATTACATTGAAGGTCCCGTTTCGGATCCTTATTTTAATACGGCACCAAATATTTTCGGGTACCCCAAAAAGGGCCCATAATCTTGACAACTACCCACATGGGTGGTTGTCAAAATTAGCGTCCGTTTTTGGGTACCCTAAATATTACGTGCCGTACTATATTAGGTGCCCCAAAAAGAGGCCATGATTTTGACAGCTACCCTACTACCCTACTACCACTCTACCCTACCCTGCCCTACCCTACTACCCTACTACCCCACCCTGCCCACCCTGCCCTACCCCAACCCGACCCTGCTACCCTACACCCTACTACCCTACCCTACTACCCTACTACCCTACCCTAACCCCACCCTACCCTGACATGCACTCTTCTGGTGGACCTCAGCTTGGCCACGCGTGCTCTGCGACTCCTCCGAGGCGTCAGGATTTGTTTTTTCCCCAAGGCTCCCATGTGCCCATTTAGGGGCTCCGTTTAGGGGTTCCATAAGGGTTCCTTAAAGGGGTCTATAGGGTCTAGGAGAAGTGCCCAAATAGTGTACACACGTTGGGCTTAAGATGGTCCCTGCATGGCCACTTTGGGGCCAAAGTATGTACTATTTGGTTTGGGCACATGGACCCTTAGGGTTTGTCATGTTTTAGGATGAAGGTTCAGGGTTTGGAGTCTATAAGGTTCAGGGATTACATAAGGTCTAGAGAAGTTTAGGCCTTGAGTTTAGAATGTTCAGACCGCTTAGGGTGTATGGATTAAGGTTTAGGATGTGGGCCTTGGGACCTGGGCTGACCAAGCTGGATTGGGCTAGATTGGCGTCAGGAATTGCAGAGGCTTCTTGGCTCTTAGTTCTTATCAGTTTGTAAGCCGACTTGCAGCTTTGAGCTTCACTTTTCCACCCTTAGAACCATAATGAAACACTAGTTTTAATATTCTCTTGGGTTTTATATGAACAAAACAAAAATTAATTCCTAAGGAGACTATATATAGTTCAATATGCCCCAACCGAATATGAACTTCATTGGGGTTCAGGATGAGCGATGCATAGTGGCTCGCTATCTCCGCAAGAAGCACTCTTGCTTTAACCGGTGGCCCTCCTGACAGAAACAAAGCTTACCCGAAGACCCCAAAGTAGTTCCTCTTTGGGGTTCATGTTTAGAATTCTATAAGGTGCTCCCAAAAAGGAACTACTATGGGGCCTATGGGTCACCCTGGATTCCTAAACCCCTGTAATTACTCCAAGCCGTTATCTTCGGCCCCCAGATGAACCCTAAACTCTAAACCCTAAACCCTATCTGGGGTTTAGGGTTTAGGCGTAGACTTCATGCGGTAGGACCCCCAATCCTAAACTCGCACCCTCTGTGTCCCCAAACCCTAAAGCCTACACTACACGAGCCCCAAAATCCCTAAACCCCAAAACCTACACTGCACGAGCCCCAAAATCCCAAACCCCAAACCCCAAGCCCTAAACCCATACGCTAAACCCTAAAATACCTAACCCCCTAACCCTCAGAGCCTCGTAGACGTCGGCAACGAAGTCGACCTCCGACGGAGTCGGAGACGCAGGATGAAGCACTTTGGCGTAGGCCTCAATTTTCGGGCTTCGGGCTTAGGATTTAGAGACTTATAATTACTATAGGGTTTAGGGGCATAAAGCTTAGGGCTTGGGATTTAGGGCCAGGATGAAGGCTTGGGATTTCGGGTTTAAGGGTCTCGGGCCTTTACTAGGGCTTAGTGGGCTTAGGTTTGAGCTACGGGATTGCAGTTTTAGCTTGCTTTCGGGGATCTTTGTCCTAAAGATTGTGCGATTTAGGACTTCGGGTTCAGGCTGGTCGGAAGGCATAGCCATGTACCCGTATGTGTATATAATTATATATATATATATATATATATATATATATATATATATATGTATGTATGTATATATGTATATATATAAGATACAAAAAATGACACTACTAGTAGTACTAGTAATAGTAATAATAATAATGGTTCAGGATAACTGAAAGGTGTTGGGACTCAAGGCGCTTTCTTGGCGTTAGGTTTTAGGTTTTAGGTTTTAGGGTTTAGGGTTTAGGGTTTAGGTTTTAGGGTTTAGGGTTTAAGTTTTAGGGTTTAGGTTTTAGGGTTTAGGTTTTAGGGTGGCTTTGGGTATTGGGGCTTAGAGTTTGGGGTGACGGTGCCTGTTGAAGTTTGGGCATCGGGGCTCTGAGCACAGCCTGTTGATCCCTACCTACGGCCACAGAGAGACCGTTCGGCGGGCTTTCATCTCTAACCCTAGGACTCCAAGAAAACACGTATTGCCTACATTGGGGTCTAAACTCTATACATAATACCTACTTTCAGCTATTTGGAGCCTCAGGGAAACACCAAGGATCCGGCGAGGAGCACCTTCGAACGCAAGTCCCAAGCATGCCGAGGATTGGCCTTTACCTGCGCTTGCCGTGGGAAAGCAGAGCTTAGGGTTTAGGGATACTATGGCTTACCCAAAGGCCCCAACGTAGTTGCTTTTTGGGGTTCATACTCAGACTCCTATAAGGTAATCCCAAAAAGGAACTACCATGGGGCCTAGGGCATAGTGTAGGAGCCTGATTAAGAAACCCTGGGCCTATAACCTAGGGAACCCTAATAAAGGCGAAAGGTTCAAATAATAAGGAACCCTAATAAAGGCGAAAGGTTTCTTAGCCAGGTTCCTACATTAGAGGGCTTTTGGAGCTGAGGGTTAGGGTCTCGGGTTCGGGTTTGGGTCTTAGGGTTGCGGGCTTATAGAGTCCACGATTTATATGCTTAATAGTGTTTAAACGGGTTTATACTGAACGTCTCAATGGCTTCGCGGCTCATGATGTAAGGTAGCAGCTGGAAACTGAAAAGCATGTGCGAGACCGAACAACAACAAGTTCCGAACATGTAATGCAGCTTTGTCGTCCGGCCGCGGATCCTTTATCCCGAACCCTATAAAGGGAACTCCAGAAAGTTGGAATATGGTTTCAGGGTGGGATACCCTATAATTTACCATAAAGGGTTTAGGATAATCATATTCCAACTTCTGGCTTTTACTTTAAGCCCTATAAGAGTAAGTTGCTGAGGTCATTGACCTCAAACTCTCCTGCAGACAGCTTCCTTTCCCAAGTCAGGAAAATACTACAGCCAACGCCTGAACCATAGACCCTGCCTGGACCCTTAGAAACCGTAATATGACCTCCCTATATCACAATAAGGCACCCTAAGAAGGTAGGTGCTTCAGCGTCCAGGTAGACTCTAAATCCCAGGTTCTCAACCCCAAAACCCTAAACCCTAAACCCCTAAACCCTAAACTCAAAAGATGCACGCCGAAAACCAGCCTCGAGAGCACGTTCGATAGCAACTGCAATGAGCCTCGGCATTCTTGATCGGTATACTCTATACCCCCTCAGAACCATAATAGTCATGTTAAGTTTAGTATTCTGTTGTTTTTTGTGAACATAATAGACATTCCTAAGGATACGATACTACTTGTGGATCAGGGTTTGGGCTAAGGTTCATGGCTCCACAACATGTTTCACATGCACAGCAAGAATAAGGCCAAACTCAAAGAGGCACCTTGAAACAAACACCTGAGCCTGAGAGATGTCAGTGCACTTTGACCATTGGTGCTGCTTCGCTCAAAAAGTCAGCCAGATTCAAGACTATCAAGACTGAACATCTGTATCTATGGCAGGCTTCTGACGGGCTGTTGCAGATGGTTTTCTTCTGATGTGACCGTACCACAACCTTGAACTCAAACTCAGGATTAGTTCGACAGCTCTTGGTGCAGATCCTCTGCATAAGCTCGTCCAAGAAGTCGCGGCAGCATCGGCATCAGTATAGTATAGTCGTCGTCATTCTGCTCGTACCACTGGATGTACTAGCACGAATGGGAACCGGATATTCATCTTGGCATTGGGCCAAAAGGGATCCATCCTCTTTTTGTGCAGTCTTCTTGGCGATCTAGGAGATATAAGGGTACTATAACTTCGATCCCCATCTCGACCCTAAACCCTAAGCCTAAACCCTAAACCCTAAACCCCAAACCCTAACCCTAAACCGTGAGGAACAAGGTCTCTCAGCCGTTCACTCGTCTGCAGGCGCCCGCAGATCCGCCTGAGTACAAAGGCGGTTCAGGGATCCAGATACTCCAAGATGTGGGGTTTAGGGCTTAGGTTTAATAGGGTTCAAGGTTTAGGGACTCAGCACGACATGCTTTTAGACTTAAAGTTGGTAGTTTGGGGTCTAGCTGGGACTCACATCCCTCGCACGAGAACAGCATTCCTGAATAATGGATCTTTGATGAATCTAGAGTGGGTGCTGCTGCGACCTTGAACCCGACTTCAAAGAACTGAATGGCACAGATGGGGCACCTATGCTACAAGGTGTTGTAACAGTCGGACAGCTGATCAATTCAATGGGCAGGGCTTGCGACGAACTACCCATCGTGGCAGCTGCACAGAGCTTGGCACAGTTTACAAGAACGATCGCAACAAATACCATGATTCGACGACACATCCCGTACTGCTTTATGTTGTTGCTAGCTAAAGATGTGCCGCAGGAAACCTCGTTCTGAGACTGCGGTCACGCCGACACCGATACTGCTCACCCTGTTGTGCGCGAAATGCAGACCGACACTCAAACCTCAGTCAAGACAACCCTGTCAGGATCCGTAGGTTACCCAAAAGGCCCCAAAGTAGTTCCTTTTAGGGTTCGTATATAGAATCCGATAGGGTAATCCCAAAACGGAACTACTATGGGGCCTCTGGGTACCCTGTAAGCCCCAAACACGAAATCCAAAAACACATTAAGCTCCCGGAGCCGTAAACTAAACCCTCAATTGGTGTCCGCGCGCTTAGCGTCAGCTTCAAGCGCAGCCGAAGGGCAGTTGCACATGACCAGGCAGAAATTGAGAGAAAGCCTGCCTGACAGAAAGAACGGCGAGTGGAACCACCGGAAGATCACAACAATAGAATGGCGGGACCATGGCCAAAATAAAGACATTACCATGATCCTTTCCCAATGTCTTCAGGGAAACGGGCAAAATGATTGCCCCAATGTGCTGGCGGGAGTCAGGCATTTCCAATCTATTGGAATTTGCATGGAATCCCTGTTTCCGGAGGTTGGGGCCCGACAGGGATTGAGGGATTGTGCAAAGCATGGTCCATGAGTTCAATCGAAAACTATATGCACCGTACCACAACTCCAACAGCGGCGCGCACACCAAGCGGCTGCACTAGCCGTCTCTCTTTACTCCGAATGTCCCAATGCCCGAACCTCGAAAAGATAGTGTGGTGCGTGTGCGTGTCTCACACTGCTTGGAATATTATAATGTCTGTGTGTACATATATAGTATAACGTTTTTGGTGAAGGAAAGGGAGAGAGGGAGAGAGAGCGAGAGAGAGAGAGAGAGAGAGAGGAGAGAGAGACTCAGAGAGAAGTACGGAATGTCAAGCTGGGTTGGCCTTTAACCACCCTGAAAAATATTTATATATAGGGTCCCTTATAAACCCAAATAAGGAAAATAGAAAATGTCCCAAAATCCAACTTAGCAAGGTTTAAAGAAGCCACGATAAGCTCGCGCCTCGTCCCAGGGGTCTGCTAGCTGCAAGCTCGACAGGGCAGCACCTAGAAGACACGTCTGGGTGGTTCTCAACGTTTCATTCTGCCACTTACAACCGACCTGCCAAAATGAGTAGTAGGGGAGTTTCCAGGGGTACCTTATATTGGGGTCCTTATAATAGGGATCCTGCTACTTTGGGTGCTATATTGGGGTTTTCTCCGGCCTCTTGTTCTGTTCTGTTCAGCTGCGATCGAGCATTGGCAGAAAGGAATATGCCAAAACAACAAACCCGGGCAACGTTTTTTTGGGCGCATTATCGACATCCTGAATAAGCACGGGCAGAAAAAGCATGATAGACGCCTAATTCAAGACAGAGCAAACCCCCCCCCCCCCCCCCCCCCCCCCCCCCCCCCCCCCCCCCCCCCGCCCCCAAGCCCTTAATCACAGGATCCGAAAGTTCGACACTATGCTTTAATGTGGAACCCTAGACACCGAGCCATATGAACTTCTGGTTGTGAAACCATAGGGTTTAGGGTTTGGGGTCCAAATACAAAAAGCCCTAAACCCCGAAGCAGGCACTCAAGCCCCCAGCTTCACACACTTACCCAAGCATGTTGCACCTTATGCCACAGTCAACCCTAAACCCTAAACCCTAAACCCTAAACCCTAAACCCTAAACCCTAAACCCTAAACCCTAAACCCTAAACCCTAAACCCTAAACCCTAAACCCTAAACCCTAAACCCTAAACCCTAAACCCTAAACCCTAAACCCTAAACCCTAAAATCAAAACCCTGAGCCCTAAACCCTAAACCCTAAACCCTAAACCCTAAACCCTAAACCCTAAACCCTAAACCCTAAACCCTAAACCCTAAACCCTAAACCCTAAACCCTAAAATCAAAACCCTGAGCCCTCAGACCCCCAAAATGTCCTTGCCCAAAGGCCCCAAAGCAGCTCCTTTTTCGGGGTTCGCATGGGAGTTTCCGAAAATAGGGGACCCTAAAATAGTACCCCAAATAGTAGGATCCTTATGAAAGGGACCCCCAAAAAGGTACCGTCAATTGTCGGAAACTCCCATATATAGAATCCTATAGGGCAATCCCAACAAGGAACTGCTTTGGGGCCTCTGGGTATATCCTAGTTCCAGAGGGCCTCCAAGTCCCTCTTACGGTAAGGTGGTTTAGGGTTTAGGGCTTTAGGGCTTTAGGGTTTAGGGTTTGGGGGTTTAGGGTATGGGGGATAGGGTTACCATGTCATAAATATCGAAGTTCGGAGAATCCTGGCCGCTACTACTCCACAAACTGGTGCCAAACATGTCTTCCGGATACATAAAACGCCACAAACACCCTACAAAGACCCTATATGGAGACAGCCAGAAACCCACATGGAGGCTTCAGTGCTCCAAACCCTCCAAGATAGCCTAGAAAGTACTGATTCCGAAACCGCCAAACCCAAAACCTGCGAGCAGCCATATAGGGGCCTTGATAAATAGAATAACTTAGTAGGGTTCCTTAAAGGGCTCCTTTAAGGGATCCTTTAGGGTTTAGGGTTTAGGGATCTATAAGGGAACTAGGATACCCAGTAACCTAAGAATAAAAAGGCCTCTCTTTTTGGTACTGGGTAACTTTATAGGGAACCTAGGACTACAAAAAGGGAATAAGGGTACTACTGGGCATCCTAGTAAATAGAATAGGGTTTTGGGGCCCATTATACCATAACTCATAACAAGGAACCCCCAAAATAGTAGAGGTAGTTATGAAGGCCCCTATACTATAGTACCCTTAGAAGAGCCCTTTCTAGTAATCCTGGTATAGAGCCCTTTAAAGGAACCCTATTCTAATTATTAAGGCCCCTATATGAATTATAAGAGCCCCAGAAGCGGAGGAACGGCTCGGCCACGTCTTCCGGCAGAGTGGGCCTGCCTGGTACTTAGCGGTGCTCTCTTCCGGGACGGATACGGTTGATGATAAAAACCTGCATTACTTAAAGGACCCGAAACCATGGGAATCATGGGATATACCTTGTTATGGGTCATGCACGATTTGTATCATCAACCGTAAACCCTAAACCCTGAACCCAAGTACCTGTGCAATCTATCTTGCGGTTTGTTGACTGCCTTCTGCTCACGGCAGCATTGGAATGTGCATGCAATCGCGGCAACACCGCGGGCGCAGCACTTGTCCTTCAGCGATTTCGCACTATGCATCTTCTGTTTCACGGTATCAGGAGCGCTCCCTCACAAACCTCCACGGTTTAGCCTGAAGCCTTGGCTCCTGCACGTGCCACCCCGATGAGGTCATAAACATTTTGCCCCGAAACCCCTGCTTGCGAGGCCGCCTACGTCGAGCGCGGCCATCGACCAGAGGACCATGAAGAAATCTTGAGCATTGACCTGCACGGGTTCTGCAGACTTGTTGGCTTATACTGCTCTTTTCGACATAAATAACTGCAACATACCCCCAATAGTCTCTATGAAGGTCTTATGATGTTGGTTGGCCTAAACTTTTTCCCAATGGGGCATCCGAGAAAGAGCACTAGAGTGTCGTTTTCAAGGCCTATAGCTAGGGTTCATGGGCTCTAATAGAGACCTCTCCTTAAGCAGTCAAGGTTGGAAAGCTTAAATCTCTAGGATTACGATGTTCACTTCCAGGCCGCTGCGGCCACTCCTCACTCCTTTTTCGATCTTTTCAACCTGAGGGTGCTAAGCTTGAACAAGTCAACAACAGACCCTAAGGGTCCAAGTACCTAATTATCATATACTCTCCAAAATGGTAACCTACATCTACATAACTACTATCCTAAAACCGAGTACCTAATTATTGGGTCCTTTGGACCCTTGGGGAGATTGAGTTTCGGCATAACCGTGAAGCCACCCTGTAATAGTGACCATAAGGATTATATAATAGGATTGTATTATGGCCCTATTATATTCCTATTATACCACTATTACAGGGTGGGGGCAGCTTCTAAGGCATAACCGTGAAGCCAAACAGCTCAACTTCACATCGCCTGTCTGGGGGCATAACTGCGTACTTGGAGGTTCATGGGTCGTTATGAAGTAGGGTTTTATAGGGGCCCTTTTAAAGGGATCTATAGGGATTCTATAAGGGTATGGGGTTTAGGGTTCATGGGTAGTTATAACTAGAGTTATAAGTCTCCCTAATATGGGTTATAGGTACAGTTACCCTACTTGAAACTCTACTTATAACTACCCATGAACCTCCAAGTAACGAGGCCGGACGGTGTCTTGAGGTCTTCACTCAAAGATCTGACGCGCAGCCTCCGTAGCGTCGCTTTCTTCTGGCCAGGCCTCTGGGGCATCACCACGTTGTGTCTCTTGGAAGTCTGTAACCCAAAGGCTCCATGTAGCTTTATGGTAGATACTTAAGGCTTCAAGTGGTCCCTATATAGGTACTTTAAGGCCTAAGTATATACTATATGGGTACATGGAGCCTTAGGGTAAAGGGCTATTAGAAGAACGGATGTTGAAGGTTTTCCCTAAGGGTCCAGGTACTCAAATCGTATGTATACATTGACTTTAAAGTACTCCCTATATAGCTACATTGGGCCTAAAGTATATAGTAATAGAGTACATGGACCCTTAGGGGTTTAGCCTTCAATAGGGGTTTTTGGGCTGGTATGGTTGAGGGTGTACTGGTACATATTTGGCACTGGGGCTGCAGCCATGCGCCGGACCACTGCCGGAAGCATCTGAGCCACCTCATGTTGGCGAAGGTTGATCTAGGGGTCAGAATAATTAGACTAGTGTTTTGGGGGCCCAGTAATTATGCTGTAAATATACTAAGGAACCCCCACAAAATATTACTGGTAATTTCCAAGGGTAAAAGGAGGGACCCTTAACAAGGACCCCTAGGTATGATATAGCTATTAAATGCAGCTATTATATACCCAATATATAGCCCATTATAGGGCAGGGGTCCCCATTAAGGGTCCCTCCTTTTCCCCTTTTGATATCCCAGGAGCACATAGGCAGTTCGTCTTCAATGGAAAACCCAAATGGCGTAGGGTGCCATCTCGTATTCGTTGGCCATGTCGGAAGATTGAACTCGAAGTGTCAGACTTCTTGGAGGGTCGGGGGACTCAGTAACTGGTTATTTTAGGGACTTATAAGTACCATAAGCCCAATTAGGGCCCCTTTTAGTGTACTTATAAGTCTAGCTACTAACTACTTGCTAAGTCCCCCGACCCCCCAAGTTGTAATCGTCTGAGTCTATCATGATCCTAAGTACTGCTCAACACAACACCTGCATTTCAGTCGGTATTTCTAGCAAAACTAGGCTGTATCTAGCTACTACTTTCCTGATGGGCTGGCAGTGTTGCCATGTGACAGAGGCAGAAGTGACGAAATTCATGGGGATAGTATCAGCGCTTCCGACGCTGTCCGTCAATCTTCTTTCGAAGCTCACTGCCTCAACCCCGTTTAATGATGGGAGACTGTAAACCCAAAACCCCAAACCCCATAAGTGCCTGGTGCTTAATAGGGAATGGGGGCAAGGGTTATGGGGACTTTTTTTGGGGAATATATCCGGACTACTATACCATAGTACACTTGTAGATCCCTTGTAGGAGCCCTTATAGATCCCTTTGAAGGATTATATCTGGACTACTATACGGATCCATTCCCCCAAAAACCCTACACCTCAAACCCCACAAGCACCACAAGTCCCAGTCGCCTGTATTAAGGCCACTGTGTTTGCAGTACCCTTCTAGATCCCTTACAGTAGAAGCCAGAAAGTTGGAATATCATTCTCGTAACCCCTTTAAGGTAAATTTTAGGGGATCTTACCATTAATCCATATTCCAACTTTCTGGAGTTCCCTTTACAGTAACCCTGAAAGACCCCTTTAAACGAACCCTATTCAAACGATTGAGGCCCCTGAGGAGCCTTAGCTGGGTGTGTCCTTCCTTTGAGAATAGCAGCTGTGAATCCAGCAAAGTACCCTAAGTTAGCTTGAGGCTCTAGGTGGTAAGGTTCACCGGTAGCACCAAAAAAGCCTACCTTTTTCAGGGTTCCGGATAATAGTTTCTGCATAGACATAGATTTCGTTAAACAGCCTGGATTTTTCAGCCAAGGGTGGGGCCAGATTTTGAAGTTTTGCGTTGTAACCGGCTTCACAAAGTGATTTTAAAACAAACAAGCCCTGTACCCTAACTAATCCCGTGAAGCCCTAAACCCCTCAAAGTGGGGACCCCTACCCTAAATTGGACCATATAATGGGTATATAATAGCTATATTAAGGGTATATACCTAGGGGTCCTCGTTAAGGGTCCCTGCTTTTACCCATGGACTTATAAGTACCATAACCCCAATTAGAGTCCCTTTTAGGGTACCTATAAGTCTACTTACTAACTACTTACCAAATCCCCCGACCCCCAAAGTTGGATCCCCTGAACCCTTAAGTTGGCCGTGGAACTGGCTCTGCCAGACCGACGCGCGCGGCGCCCCACTGGATCCATGATAAATCCTGGTCGTCGAGAGAATTCGGAGGCTTTCACTTCCCTAAACCCCATGCAACTCCAGCTCAATCTATACCTGATTGGTTCAACTTTGGGACAGCCGACCATGTCCAACATTCTCGCAACCGTAGGCCTAGACCCTGAATCAAGGGCCTGCACTTAATAAGCAAGATTCCATGGCAAACTATGATCCCAACGTTCAAGTGTCGGGGCTCCCATCACTCGTGATCGTTAATTAACTCATGCTCCATTTACTGGACCTCCGTGTAAAGTTTAGGGCTGTGTGCTGTGAGTTGCTTTGGCTTTGCAGGTTGATAGAAGCCAGTGCAACGTATATTGCAAGAGTCGAACGCTTCGGACCCCAATGCATGCCTAAATGTCCATATACATACATGATGTAACATACATTCGCACATGGACTCCTATGGTATGAGAGTTTACGAACTGCAGCTCCATGTCAGCCTTCCAGCAGCAGCTTTGGACATGGGTCGGCACTGTGGGTCTTATTGTCGCTTCTTACATGAGAGTTCGGTATGCATGCTATCTCTCGCTTAAAACTTCTGGTGTCCGAGAAGTACTGACGTACTTAGGCTTTGGAGATTGGCTGAGATTGGGGTCGGATTTAACCTTAAATCGGCAGCAAACTTTCAGTTTAGCTCTCAGGGATGAAGCTATACAGGATTTAGAGCACGGCCCTACGAAAAAAATAACAGGTGAACCTCTGCTCCTTAAGCCTCTCTGCCCTTCAACTTCCGGAAGCACTATCCCTAAGACTCCAAGAATACAAATACTACCTACTTTGGACCTCTAAAGTCTGTAAATGGTACCTACTTTGGGCTATTTGGAGCCGTAGGGTATAGACCATTGAAAACCCAGAGCCCCAACCCCAAAGGCCTCCCAAACCCTACCCTAATGCTCCTGGACCCTTGTAGTGAGATCCCGAACCTGAGCCCCCAGAGCCCAAACCCCCTCGCCCACAAAGCCCATGACCCTCTTAGGAGCCTTAGAGTAAGCCCTAAACCCACAGATTCCCAAAATGGCCTTGGCCCGAAAGGGCCGCGCATCTTCGCAGACGCGCTGGGCCGCCATGGCGAGCGCAAGGAGGACGGGCTCCGGAACTTGGATGTCCTCAACAGAACAGCCCAGAGATCCCCATACCTGTTAATTAAGGAATATACTTTTTTTCGTCAATAGAGGCCTTAATATTATGATCTAAGGTATGATTAGAGCTAAATTAAGGGGTATTGGGCTCGCTGAGGAGCTAGGCTTTAGGGCGTGAAAGAACCCAAACAAAATGTATGGTGAGGGATTGCGGTGAGTGGAGCTGAGGTTGGGCCGAAAACCCAAACCCTTAAATCCTCCCGTTCGGGATGAGCTATAGGAGTAACGAATCCACCTAGAAACCTGAGTGAACTGGGCTTCAAACTATAAACTTCTGCACAAGCAAGGTCTGGCAGGTATTATTACAAATTACTACTACGAGTATTACTACGAATACAAATCCTGAAACAACAACAGTATAGCAATGCTACCAACAACAACCGGACTCAGCTCCCATCTCGCTGACATGATACTTTACCACCGTGTGAACGTAACACGGTCGCTAATCATTGGGCAAGCACGGGTCCTCGCTCAGTGCCAAGTTGTCCGGTGTGAAGGCCTGCAGAGATGCGACCAAGTTTGGGATGTTGGGGGTGTGCCGCCGCCGTGGATGACTGAATTCGGGACAGGTGATCCCAAATCAAAGGCTTCATGGGCTAAGCTGAGCGCTCTCTAGGGAGTCTTTGCCGGTGCGCAAAAATGCCAGCTGAACCAGATGTAACACACCATATGCCAGATGCACATGTTCTAACACGACCACGGCTGACAGAAACAGCCAAGGGCAATGCGCGATGCAACCCTCCTGCAAGGCAGCCTCATAGCGAGTGTCTTCACACCCCAACACGCTACAACTCTCAGAGCATCCCTTCAATTATACCCCCTTGACTCAAACTGACCCCTCTTCTTCCATCGACGTCCTCAACGACAAAAACATGGTGCCTTGGCCAGTGCCCAAACCACGCTGGCCAGGTGATAGGGGTTCATCTGCCAGAGGCGCCCACCTTGCTTAATGTTTCAGGGTTCAGGGGCTTCCATGTCAGACCCAGGGCACGGCCCTTCTCGGGTAATGTTTACTTAGTGTAGGGGCCTTTTTCCGTAATAAGAACTAGGGTCCTTTAAAGGGTCAATACAGGGGCCTATGTAATTAAAATAGGGTTTTGGGGACCCATTATGTTAAGGAACCCTAGGGATAACATTGGTAATTATTTAAGCTTCTACATTAAGATTCTGGGCCTGCGAGCCATTAGGGTCATTAGAGGCTTCGGTACTACGCAAGAGGATTCGTTGACACATCGGAGAACCTAAATCGCAGAACACGAGCTTGCAACGACAGGGTGCAAGAAGCTATCCCGCATCTGCATCTTCCCTAAACCCTAAACTCTAAACCCTAAACCCGTAAACCCTAAACCCTTCCACTTCCAACAACTTCTGGCCGCTGCCAAGGGTGCTATCCCGAAACCTTCCCGACAGATGTACCTAGCAGATCTTTGAATGATCCCATCATTCCGAAATCCCCAGCACGTGCATAGACCGTAGCACAGAAACTAACGATGGTGACAGAACAGCTAATTATTCGACAGCACGACTGATGACATAAACCGATGTTTATACTCAGTTTTCCACAGCGATAATGCTACTTGAAAAGCCAATGCCGATGGTAAAGATAATGCAACTTGCTAACGCTAAACCCTGAACCCTACCCTAGACGTTCCCAAAACACTACTTACGGCCGCCATCCGAGGAGCCGTGTCGTCCCTCGCTTGCAACTCGCAGCATGAACTGCCTGAACATGCTGGAGGGAGGGCCTGTTTAGGGCTTAGGCTCCTGGCTTTTGTGAAAAGGACGTGAGAAGGACTGGCCGAGACTTGCAGGGGAGAAGCCGGCCGCAAACCAACGAACGCCAGTTTCATGAAAGCTCCTACGGTTGATGATGCAAATCCTGCATTACCTTAAGGACCCTAGACTATGGGAATTATGGTATATTGCTTATTATGGGTAATGCAGGATTTATATCATCAACCGTAGTTCGCCTGGGCCGCGGCAAGGCAGAGCCTGCATCTGGATGAGAAAACCCTTCATTGACCCGGGCCTGAACCCTCGGAACCGTTTAGGGTTTAAGGGTTTAGGGTTTAGGGTTTGAGGGTTTTTTTTTAATGCAATGGGCCTTTTCTCCTGCAGACCCTGCCTTTGACAGGCTTGCACCTCTTCACATGAACAGCATCAGAGATGTCACATCCCCTCAACTTCATCATCGACCTCTATCACTGCAGCAGCCGAGGCATCAACAGAGGCAGCAATCGCAGTAGGACGAAAAGTCGACAACCCTACATTTCCCACACTCACTTCAGGAGGCTCAGCAGCAGGAACCAACACAGGTACCGCAGGAAGGACTGGGACCACGACCAACTCATCAGGCACAGCCGTAGTAGCCAAATCGCCAACATGACACCCCACCACATTGCCCGTCTCCTGTTGGTGTTGTGCCCCTTGTGGAACTTGCGCAGAATCATCAGGAGCGGCATGGAGACCAGCAGCATCACGAACATCCGCAGAATCACCAGGAAGACGATGAAGTTCTGGCCGCCCCACCACACCATCCACCACCGCCTGTTCATGTTCTTGAGCCGCTTGGGGAAGATGTGCAAGGCAGGAGTGGCATGTAGACCAGCAGGACCACCAGCATCACGTGCTTGCACAGAATCACCAGGGAGACGATGAAGGTCTGGCCGCCCCACCACACCAGCGACAGTCACCTCAACCAAGTTTCCAGGACCAGTCGGAGGGAGGAACACACCCAGAATCACCAGGAGCCGTATCCAGATGACGACCCATCCGATCTTGATCATGACGAACTTGCGCAGGATCGGAAGATGCACGATGTAGATCTGGCCGCCCCACAACGCAGTGTACCACTAAATAGCCGACAAAGTTGAAAGCTTCGGCAGCGCACCGGATCGCTGAAGTCCGGATACGCACGGCCTCCGCTTTCCAGAGAGCCCAATACCCCGTAATTCAGGAATATATCTTGATTTTGGACGTATCGAAAGATAAGCCAACAACGCTGCTGGCGGCATCCACTACAATCTCACATGCATATGAGGCAGCATGGAAGCCAGGTGTCCCGATCCTTCCGCTGGAATCGAGCCTTCTGCGGCCGCAAGCTCCACAGCTGGGCCTTGCGCTGGGATCGAGCCCTCGGCGCCCGCAAGCTCCACGGCTGGGCCTTCCGCTGGGATCGATCCCTCGGCGCCCGCAAGCTCCACGGCCTTCCGCTGGGATCGATCCCTCTGCGGCCGCAAGCTCCACAGCTGGGCCTGGCGGAATTTGTCCTTCCGCTCGGATGGAGCGATCTGCGCCGGCGGTGTCCACACTTGGGCGGGGACGGGAATGTGACCTTGGTCCTTGGTCTCCGGTATCCCAGCGAGTTCATCGAAATGCCGACGATGTAGCGCTGCTCTTGCCAGCGTAGCGGACGTGTCTCGCTGCAGCGGTTCTGGCCCGGCCTCTCAGCTCCGATAGGAGCCTGAGGAGCGAGATTTCGGCGTCCGGCAGTCTGCACTGGTCGGCGCACCCCGGAATGGCCAGGTTGATGACTCGTCGGCCCGTTGCTGGCTCCCATTCCTGTGCAGCCGTGGCCTCCGCACGCTCCTCGAAAGTCGCGTCCTCCGACATGCTCGGAGGGCCCGCGCTGCCTGGGCCCTCCGCTGTCGGCGTTGCTGAAGGACGACGCCTCGCCTTCGCCGGCGGCTGCAAATGCTTGGATGAAGGGCTCGCGGTTTTAGGGTTTAGGGTTGAGGGTTTGACACAAACCGAACGTCTATCCAACAAGTGGCCCGAAGCAGGATAACCTAGACCTCGGAAGCAAATGAGTCCGGACCTCGTCGTCTCGGTGGGGACCTCGGGATCGCAGTATGTATGTGAATATCTATATCTATGTCTATATCTCTCTCTCCATATATATTTATATGTATAACAATACATTTATATAGATAGATAGTATGTGCATGTAGGTACACGCACAAACAGTCACACCTGACTTTTGACCACTTGATCATGAAAACTAATGCTCCAGCAGGAATTTCTGCTGGTGCTGTAAAACGAACTGGGTTTGATCTGATAGTGTAATATAGGGGCCTTAATTAATGATTAGAACAGGGTTTCCTTAAAGGGTTCTTTTAAACGGGGTAGATATTATGAACAAGATTCTTACAATGAGGACCCCCCCTCCACAAAAGAAAAAAAAAATAAATAAATATATATATATATATATATATATATTAAGTCTGATTGCTTCGAGGCTTTGGAACTCCAGGCATTGGACGATGGTTGCTCTCCATCCGGTATGTGGCTGTATACAGTTTCGAGTTTAAGCAAGCACCGTAGACAATTTCTAGACTTTTGGCTGCTCGTCGTCAGCAGCTTTAGCATCAACCCATACAGGCATTATTATCACGAGCATCAGCATTGCATAATCTTGGTGTGACCCCTATCCCTCGCTATTCTGTTTGCACAGTATCAACAGAAACGCCGCCAGCAACACCATCTTGATCCTCATCATAGCTGTCATCATCGCACTAGCACAACGAATTGCTCCGACACCAGCGCTGCGACCTCTTCTTTATTCGCAACCCCGCAACACAAGACTTTCCCCCCTCCCACCTCGATCTTTGCGAAGGTCCACAGGAGGCCACAAATATGCTGGTCCAGGATTGCGGAACTCTTTGTCCGCATGAGCAGCATGCCTGCGGACTTCAGTTTTCGGGCTTCCCGGCTGAGCATTTAAATAAGGCCTAAACCCTATATACTCTAAACCCCTACTTTAAAGGATCATGGGACTTAGTAACTAGGTTATAAATAAGGTAACTATACTTATAACCACTTATAAGCCCACTTAAGGTACGTATAACCTGACTTACTAAGTCCCATGATCCTCCAAGTAATCCGGAATCCTTAACTTAAACCCAAACCGCTCAACCCAAAGCCTGCGTTGGCCAAAGCATCGTAGAACCGTTGGCCGTCTGGCACGCCGACGCGGCAAGCGCCCCAGCCGCAGTTTGCTAACATCCTTGGCTCTGCTGCTGAGGGTTTAGGGATTTTGGTGGCTTTGGGTTCAAGGCTTTCAAGCTTGAGGACTTTGCGTCTACCCGACGAGACTGCACATCGCAGAATGAAGCAACAACCTCTCTAGCTGCAACAGGTTCAAGAAACAAGAGATCTACCTGACTGTAAACCTCGAAACTTACAAACTTACAGACTCAATTCCTAAATCTGTGGTTGTCCTTGCTTATAACCCCTGCACCAGGAGACAACTCCGAAGAATTCAGCGCTCCGCGGCCACATTTGGGGGTCTTTGGGGTCTAAGACTTCGAAGTGGGATGAGAGCTGGGATGCTAAGTGGGCTAAGTAGGGTGGACAGTGACGGCTTCACTTTCGTGGGGTTTATTTTGTTTAGAGTTTATCGTTGCAAGCAGCGCAGTGGTTTTGGGAATGAAGGCTTCGGGATCAGGGAATGCGGGACATGATGGTGGAATCTCATAGTGTGTATCATTTGCGTAGGATTTGTCCATAAGGTACCAACAAGTGACCTAGCACCGACTCCTGACCGCTCCATGCAATTCCAGCAATCTACCTAGACCCTCCATCTACCCTCTATTAGACCCTAAATGCCCATTATTTGGGGCCATATATCCCTATTTGAGGGCACAAGGAGGGTCCTGGTACCACGACAGCTTACTATCCCTGGCGCTTGAAATGTATGTAAGTCACTATAAAAATTCCCATATCGAAGGCTGGCTGCTGTGCATTCATTGCGGGTGCCAGAAGGATCGCGACGTTTGCTAACCTGCGAAGTCTTGGGGAGGCAAGCTGGGGGTCGGACTCAAGCACGGTTTTAGCACGTAATCAAAAGTGCTGGGGCTAAGGGTACCCAGAGGCCCCATAGTAGTTCCTTTTTTGGGATTACCCTATAGGATTCTATATATGAACCCCAAAAAGGAAGTACTTTGGGGCTAATGACGAAGGCAGCAGCATCAGACTTGACAGAGCTGGTGGAGTTCGACTTGGGGCTTGGAAGCTGCTCAGGGCCACAACTGTCACATCGTTGAGCTACATACCTTGGCCTCGTCACATCATTAGCCCAATGAGTGGACAGGAGGAGTCCTTCGAGTATCTAGCAGTTTCGAGTATCTAGCAGTAGTCAGCAACCGCACCACCGCTAGAAACTCTCTTTGTATGTAGTCCTTTGATCACCTGAACGTGTCCCTTCTCCACTGCCAGAACTATTGTACAGAGCGGCACTTTTGTCCTAACCCGTCAAGCAACCTCTGAATCGAATTGACACCTAAACGGTCACAAGAGCAACCTCCCGAAACCCTAAGCATGAGCTTGCACTCTACGCTGGAAGTCTCTCTGGGGCAATCACTCTTTGGCAAACTGCTGCACTTCTGGCTGTCGATGCCTCAGCTTCAGATGGATATCTTGAAGCCACAACACTGCGTCATTATCGACTCGCAACGCTGGGCCCAAGGATTCCGAGGTTTAACCTAGAATCCTGAACATGACATCCTGGGTCTTTATAAGGGCGCTCTATATGGATCCAAATACGTTGGTGTTAGATGGCCAAGGTTTCTCAGTCAGGCTACCCAAAGGCCCCGAAGTAGTTCCTTTTTGGGGTTCATATATAGTATCCTGGGTAATCCCAAAAAGGAACTGCTATGGGGCCTCTGGGTAATTACGACGTCGGGTTGCCCGTTGAGTTTCCGCCTCAGGATTGCCAGGGAGAGAGCTACTCATAGAGCCAAGATGCAACTTCTCCGTGATGCCCAAAGACCAGAGAGACACCTCTGCGGCGTGTGCTGAGCAAACACCGGCAACCGCCCAAACGCACCTGCTCTCATGAACGCGCAGTCATAGATCTACATCTCATACAACCTTATATACAAAAAAAGGGGTATAGGCATTTTAGGTCATGAGTGCGATATTATGCATTCATGAAGTCAGCCGTTCGTGCGTTGTGTACGCGCACATGCGTTAACAACGACCGCACATGCGTCCCACGACGTACTACCATGCCCTAAACCGTAAGGCCCCAAACCTGGGGCCCTGAAACCTACAGCCTCTTTTACCAAGGCGAAAATGCTAAATGTTCCTCCTTCGAACCTCTGACAGGCCCTCAAACCCTAAACCCTAAACCCTAAACCCTAAACCACGGCAACCCTGTGGAGCTGAAGCCCTCAGCAACACCAAACCGACTCACATCACTACTCATCAGAATGGGACTGTGCTTAATGCTCCCTACTGGCATCCGTACTAGATTGCTTATGCTTATGTCGATTTTTGTCTCCTGAATAAACCTAAGCCCCAAACAACGGCATCGGAATGATTCGGACAATGTCAGCGCTTATGGTCCCGGTTCGTTTGTAACTATACCGTAATCCGTAGCCTACCTATTCAGGCCCCTACATATTAAGCACTATACCCTAAACCCTAAACCCTAAGATGAACTCCTGGCAAGGGGCCGAGATCGAATGGCACTCGAAAGTGCCGGCCTGTCCGAGGCCACAGGTGGCCAGTGATGAGATCAGCGGCAGTAGATCTGCGAGGCTGTCGGATGGGGATACCTACCCAAACCATGATAGTAGTTCCTACTGTAGAGACCAGATTTTCTTCTTTTCAAATCCCAAACCATGATAGAAGTTCCTTCTATAGACACCCGATTTTCTTCTTTTCTAGTCGTTAGGACCCTTTGGGTCCTGCCCAGGCGAGGGACCCTCGACACAGGGGCTCATGTTGGGGGGCTTTCTCCGCATGCCCCAGAGAAACCAATACCCCTTATTTAAGGAGTATACCTTAAATTACAGGGGCCTTAATATGATATGATTTAAGGTATATTCCTTAATTAAGGGGTATTGGATCTCTGGGGCTTTAACTTCGCAACTTAAATCCGGGGCGCAGGTTACGATTCATACAAGGAACCGTAATGAAGGCCCAAGGTTTCTTAATCAGGCTCCTACATCAGATGATGTTGCTTTCTGATGATACTCTGAGATAAGTTTGGTAGTGCTGAACACTAAACCCGAAATCGTCTGGCTTCCTGCTACGCCGTGCTCCGCCAGCTTTGCTGCAGCCCACAAGGACTGCGTGAGGTTCACCCCTTGGAGCTCGCGTCCTGGGATGTGTTATTATGCAAATATTACTGTACATATACTGTACTACACTATACTTTTGCCGCGCTAAAGATACGATGCGATGCTATTCTGTATTACAATACCACACCATACCATACAAAGTATACGTTACTAGACCATGCCATACCATACCATACTGCACCATACCTATACTGTGCTGCACCATACTGTGCCAACGGAAAAAAAGCAGAATAAAGCGATGGCTTCGCTGGGTGGATCTTCGATTATTCAAGACCTGCGCTGGAAGAATGGATGAACGAGCATCATCGTATCGCATACTGAAGTTTTTAAGTACGGTACCCTTATAAGCCCCTTTTAAACGAACCCTCATAGACCCCCCTTTAAAGAAACCCTATCCTAAGTACTAAGGCCCCTTATACTAGAATTACAGGCCCTTATAGACCCCCTTTTAAAGGAACCCTATTCCAACTCTTAGGGCCCCTTATATTATAGAGTACTTGGAGGGTCGGGGGACTTAGTAACTGGTTATTTTAGGGGCTTATAAGTACCATAACCCCAATTAGGGTCCCTTTTAGGGTACTTATAAGTCTACTTACTAAGTACTTACTAAGTCCCCCGACCCCCCAAGTAACAGAATGACCCAGCTACACCAGCTCACTGGGGCCCGACCATGCAGCTGCGAATGCCAAAGGAGAGCACCCCAAGTTTCAGAAAACCCGGAATACCAAGGGTTCCTTTAAGAAGGATCTACATAGGGTTTGGGGTTTAGAGGATTCTAATACCCATGATTAAGGAATATACCTCAAATTACAGGGGCTTATTATTTATGATTTACGGTGTATTCGATATTTAAGAGGTCTTGGGATCTCCGGGCAAGTTTCAAAGCCCCACCTTCTGCAACTGGGCAAACCGGAAGACCTTAACATGTCCGAAATTCCCCGGTAGGCACAACTGTCTAATCTAGGGACCTTAATGATTAGAACAGGGTTTTGGGGCCCTACATATTCTAAATTTCCATATCATAGAACCCTCATAGTAACTCTTATAAACTCCCTTTTGAAGGAACCCTTACAAACCCCTTTTAAAGGAACCCTATTCTAATTATCAAGGCCCCCTAAATTATCGAGGCCCTAAACCCTAAATATTCTAATTAAGGCCCGCTATGTTATCGAGATAGGGCTCCGTCGGCCAAGGCTTGCAGCGGCCCCGAGAGAGACAGCGCCAAAACTTGATTCGTCTGCTGCCTGCAACAGCACAAGTAGGGCTCCTTTACGGGTTCCTTTAAGGGTACCATAAGGGTCGTAGTGTGGGGGTTAAGGGTACCACAAGGGTCGTAGCACAAGGGTCCAGGGTCCAAGGGTCGATGTGCCCAGCCAGTATGTACATTGGCCTGAAAGTTGCCCTATATGGATACTTTGGGGCCAAAGTACATACTTTTTGGGTACATGGACCTCTGGGGAGCACAAAGGCTTGCAAGGCAAACCATCTCGAGAATGCCCCAGCTTCCTTCATATGTACCACAGGGTTTCACATGGCCTTAGACTGCGGCTGACTGCGACAATTGGACTGGATCTTGAAGCTTGCTTTCAACATTGAGGTGTGTTTAAGCCAGCATTTGCCAGGCTTCCTTTCAGTGATTCAGACCAGGACAGCAAAGACCCCATGACCAAGCACTGAAAGCACGACGGTAGAGTTCGGGGTTTTAAGCACTTGAACCTTCTCGAGACTTCTCAAGCCCGAAGCGCAAAATGTCCAAAGATCCGAGTTGCCCTTCCCTCGATGGTGTAGGAAGGTTCTGCAGGATCTATGGTGTGCTTCAATGCCTAATTTTGGGGGCAGATTTAATAGTACTGGCTTATAATAAGGGCTTATCAGGGTTAGGGTTTTCTGAAGGGCTTCATATATTGGCCTTCATAATTCGGATAGGGTTTCGGGGCCCATTTTCCTATATTCATAATAAGGACCCCCCAAAAAATTAGTATTGGTCATTATTTAGGCCCCTATGTCATCCGCCTCAGAAAACCCTAACCCTGATAAGCCCTTATTACAAGCAAGATTTAAAAGTGCTTGAAGTACTTGCTTATAATAAGGGCTTGACATGGTTATGGTTTTCTGAAGGGCTTATCTGCCTGAGCCCGGCATCTGCAACGAGCACTGCCAAGGCCCATAGTGCTGTGGAGAGGTCTCGGGCGGTGAGCTTCGGCCTCTCAGTTGCTCAGGGCCTGTTTGTTCGTGCTTGAGGGGTCGGGGGACTTAGTAAGTAGTTAGTGAGTAGACTTATAAGTACCCTGAAAGGGACCCTAATTGGGGTTATGGTACTTATAAGTCCCTAAAATAACCAGTTACTACGTCCCCCGACCCTCCAAGTGGGGTCTAGTTCGGGGCTTAGGGGTTTCGGATTAGGGGGTTTAGGGGTTTAGGGAGATATGATAGTACGATATCCAACACCTAGAGTTTGTTGGTTCTTTAAACTGGGTTTAGCCTTATGTAAGGAGTATGATATCTGACGGGTAGAGCTCCATAATCAAGATGCTTTGGTGGCCTCTTTGGCTTTGGGATGCAATTCAGAAACCCACTGGGAAAAGTATATACTTTGTTAGGCTTCTTACTTATTAATAGAAACCCAGAAGCCTGAAAGTAAAAAAGTGTACCACTAAATAG